CCAAAATCAAGAGAACTTTGATAAATTAAAAAAAAGTATTTGATCCATGATGTGTTCAAACATTTTTTGACCAATATTAAGTTTCAGCTTTCTAACTCTTGTGGTCTCAGAATGCGGTCAGTTTAACTGAAAATCGAACTGATCTGTTGTACAGAAAATAGAAAATTTTATTTCACGAAATAAGTGCCTTTTTTGGTTGACCATTAAAAGTTACATCAGTAAAATGAGTTACACAACTAGCTTTGATATATTGTTGGGTGAGTTTTTTGTTGATTTTAATTTTTGACTTGATTCAATTCTATTACAGTTAGATCATTGTTTAAATCTTCATTCTTATGTTTGGCTTGGGCTGACCAATTTCTGGTTTATAAATTATAATTCAATTTCTAATTTCATTTTGTTTTTGTTAGTGTTGATGAGTTTATTGTATTTCATTACCATCAGGTATTCTTATTAATTAGTTCAATATGGTTGGTTTGCAATCTAAAGAATCGTCTGGTGCAACAAGAATTCTGAAAATATATTGAATGTATTTGAAATTTGCGTTGAACCTCAAATTTTCAGCGGAATGCCCTTCTCTGTATAAACATCTTTACCATCCACTGATATTTTCAAATCATAAACACGGTTTCTGGTATCATGATATCCAATCGTTGAATTGATTGACAGTGGCATTGACCAAGAGCAAAATTTTCCTGTTACAAAATGAGAATGAGAAATTTGTGAATTGATTGAAACAGATTGGTCATCTATTTTCAAAATACTATCCATCCAAGTGTCCTTTAAATAGCAATCAAAATCAAGTTGACTCGAATCTGATCCAGTTAACTTAACAGAAGTTTTGGTAGCTGGTGATAGACCATCCGCCAATATAAAAATATTAAAATCATTTGAATTGTCAGTTTGTCTGACAAATAACTGAACTTTGTCATTACCATGAACCTTGTAGCAGCAATTCAAAAATTTCAAATGATAAATGGGTAAATCTTTAAAGTTTGTAACAGGCATAAAGTTGTGATCGATATTGGATAACATTATACCATAATAAGAATCAGATTCCAAATCCAATTGATTGCCCTGTGAGTTTTGCGGCCAAATTGAATCTTCTCTAGACATTGTCCAAGAACAGTATAAAGTATTATTAATACTTCGGTATTTCGATGAACCACTGATGACTGAGCTGTGTGGACCATTGAAATATGCGGTCGTAGATCCGTATGCTTTCCTTTCACAAATATATTTATTGATATCGAAACCACTATTGATCGAAACGGAGACTTGTTGATATTCAGATTCTTTGATATTATATCCAACAAGATTTATGATCAAATAGTTTACTCCATTGACTTGTTTTGCTGTGAAAGTAACACTGGCAACATCTTTGTCCACATCGTTGTAAGAATAGGTTTTACTTAAACAAGAATAGTCACAATTATCTTTAGTCTCACAGCTAATTGCAATGAAAACTACAATTAGAACTAGTTTTTGAACAAATGAAGATTTCATTATAATTAAGCGTTTCAAATGCAACAAAAAACAAAATACATATGAATTGCTGCTTGTAATTGGCTGTTAATAAATAGTTGAAAATAGGAGTTACTATGTGAAATGAAATGAAATCATTAACTTCAATTTTTCCAGTTCAAAAGAACTAAATGAACCCAATTTTGTTATCTTACAGCATTCACAACGAAATTCCTTCGCATTGAACTATCCACTTTTATTATGTTAATCATACAATTAGGTTAACAAATTAATCTGGTCTCACAGAGAGGAATATATTGACATAAATTGTGAAATCATTTTTGTGGTTATTTCATTCAGATTTATCTAATTGAAAGTCCTAACCAATAAATATTTGTATTCAAAAAACCTTACTTTCTGGTTGTGCATTAGTTTTTTATTCGTGAAAAATTTCAATTGCGATTGGTCGAAAGATTCAGCTCATAAACCATTCGATTCATTAATAGCACAGGGTGTGGTGGAAGTTCGTATGAAAGCCATCAAAATTGACAAAAAATGACGACAAGATGTCGTTCTCAGTGACAATCAAAACAAACGCGAATTGGTTTCTTCAGCAGTGGCAATGTTTTTGCCTTTCACCCAATGAGTGTGGAAAAGGATTCTCTGCGCTTGCGCAGCGCTTAAAATGGCCTTAAACGCGTTTTTATCCTGGTGAAGTTTTCTTTGCTTCTCCGGATAAAATGAACTTTGTATTTAGACTCAGCTCGTTGAGTTCTGAGAAACTCGATCGACTGAATATTGAAGTTGAGCGTCCAGTTTGAACCTTTTTCTGATTCTTGGCGACTTCAACTGCCATCTCTAAGGAAAGTAACAAAGCAAAAAATTTTGCAGAGAAAATCTCTGATTTGTCATTGTTTTGTTTTCTTATTGCCAAAAATAAATGCTTTTTTAAAGTAACGCTGATTATTTTGAACACTATTAATCAATTCTAATCTTAATCATTAATCTGTTTCTAATATTTCATCAAGTAAGTATTATTTAGATTTTCCGAGATTAGACTTTGTTATCGATGTTCTAACCTTGTACTTACTTATACCTAATTTATAAACTTATTTGTTTATAATGCTAATGTTGCATGTTGGAGGGTTTTTCGTACGTTCGCATGTTTTCATTATATTATCTTGAAATATCTTGTTCTAAGCTATCTTAGTTATCTATTTATTTTTAATCAGGATACAAACAGTAGCAGAAATCAGGCTGTTTAATGGGGCCTAGAAGCCGTAAATCTGGTCATAAAACTGGACAATCAAAAGGTGGTCATCAGTCTCAACAACATCTATCCCAACAACACCATCCACAACAATTGAATACACAGTTGAAATCTGGTTCAACAGGAGGTAAGGCTAAGTAAGTCTTTCTCATTCTTCATTGATATTCCTGTATGGATGTTTTGCTTAGCTTGCAATTATGGGCATCTGTTTCTATTCTGTTTACTGTTTGTCTATATGGTTTTGATTTTTTAATTAATTTCAAAGCTAAATATTGTTATCTCTATCTTGTTTAATATATAATGTTTCTTGTTGATCTTGGTGATAGGAACAGTGATGGAGGACCTCAACATATGCAACAACATTTCAAAAGCCGATCTGGCACTTTCAGCCTTCAACCATCTACAGCTTTCAAGACTTTCCTCTCAGCTAGACTGTGTTATGCCATCTGGAGTATAATCACTGATTGCGATGAAACCTTCAATTACTGGGAACCTATTCATTACTTAATTCACGGAAAAGGTTTTCAAACTTGGGAATATTCCCCAGCCTATGCCATCAGATCCTATGCATATTTGTGGTTTTATGCATTGCCTGCGTCATTTTATACTCATTTGCTTCCAGCAAACAAGATTCTAGTCTTTTATGGTACTCGGTGTTTCCTTGCGCTTTTCTGTTCCCTATGTGAAACATATTTTTACAAGTGAGTTTTAAGTAATAATCCCAAAACGAAAGTTTAAACGATTTCTCCAAGATGGGAAATAATCCTGGTAATCTTTTACTGGTATGACATGTTTAAGTAATGCCTGTTTTTTGTTTTTATTTTCTATTCAATTCAGGGGCATTATCCGTCAATATGGTCCTAATGTTGGTCGGTTTGCCTTGATTTTCATGATACTTTCTAGTGGGGTATTCATTTCAGCCACTGCTGTTTTGCCTAACACCTTCTCGATGTATATGGTTTACATAGTCATTGGTGCATGGTTACAGCAAAATAACAAAATAACGTTGTTAGGTTTGGCTGCGACAACACTCGTTGGATGGCCTTTTTCTGCAATCGCATGGTATCTATTATCTTTGACTTGCAAAATAATCATCTCACATTCCCTTTATTAATGACTATCCGTTAATGATTTTTTTCTTTCAATTTTTTAAAGCGCACCTATTGGCTTGGATTTGATTGCTCCCAGAAAGAGAAGATTCCAGGTTATCAAATGGAGTATAATTATTGGACTATCTGTGATCGTATGATTCATATTGATTTTTTATTTTTTTTCGATTGTTACTTGGTTATTGACAGTAATTTTTAATGATTTTTCAACAGTTACCTTTGATTGCCATCGATTCTTATTATTATGGGAAAATAGTAATTGCACCAGTCAACATTGTTCTTTATAATGTTTTCACCTCTCATGGAGCTAATTTATATGGAACGGAACCTTGGTACTTCTATGTACTAAACTGTTTGCTCAACTTTAACTTCGTCTTTATTGCTGCTTTATTTTCTGCTCCTCTAATGGTAATTTAATATATTTGAATTAATTTTTCAATATGTTTCCCCTATTAATATATCTTTTTTTTAATTTTTTAGTTTACTTGCAAATATCTCATCAAGTCTCGAAGAGTATCTGTAAACCTTTCACATTGGATTGTCCTTTCTTGCTTCATTCTTTGGTTTACCGTAATGACTGTTCAAGCACACAAAGAGGAACGATTCCTTTTCCCAGTTTATCCATTTATATTTCTTCTTGCTGGCTTTACTTTTGATCTTTTGAATAGAATTATTCAAAGCTTGATGCCAAAACTGACAACAATCTATTCCTTCTTTGTGATTACTTTCATAGTTGTATTTTCAACTTTATCAATCTCTCGATCCCTCGCCATCTATAAAGGTCAGTATGAAAAGCGATAAACAGATAAACATAACAAAATTTTTTATTTCTTTATAATATTTATTACCTTGTCTTATCTTTTTTTTTATTTTCTGTTTAATTGGATAGGTTACCATGCTCCTTTGGACACTTTTATGCATCTATCTCAAATCGATCAACAATTGGGTGAATCTAACAATTTACCGACTCCAATAAACGTTTGTGTCGGTAAAGAATGGTACAGATTTCCTAGCAGCTTTTTCCTTCCTTCAGACCGGTGGCAGCTGCAATTTATTCAATCCGATTTCCTTGGACAACTGCCTCAACCATTCAAACAGGGACATCTTTCCACTCGCCTTATCCCAGAAAATATGAACGATCTGAACAAAGAAGAACCTTCTCGTTATATTCCTGTGGACAAATGTGCTTTCCTAGTTGACGCTGATACACATCGAGAAACACCAAGAGAACCAAGATATTCTCAAGACACGAAAAATTGGTCAATAATTAAATCGGAACTTTTACTAGACCATGAATCATCACCAAACCTGTGGAGATCCTTCTATATTCCCTTCTTATTTTACGCAAAAAATAATTTCGTCAACTATAACCTTCTTCAAAACAATAATATTCGGCTAAATTAAAGACTAAAAATATATCCCAGGCACACCGAAAACAAGTAAACTTCTACGTCAGTGATACTCAGTCACACTAACGATCTCAAAGATGCTCAGATTTTGTCTTCTGTTCGCCCCTTTTACCATCTTTGCTATCTTTTTTTTTCAAATTATTAATGTAAATCTATTTATACTCTTATTAAAAAATCTTAGCTGACTTGAACTACAATATTGACTTTATTTACAATGTAATTCAAAAGCTTGATTTTAAAATGAACGATTAAATTTATCGAATTGAAATGCAATTGAGAAATGAACAATGTACAAGATTTGAAATTGATTTTCACCCAGGCTTTGGCAAAATATCAGATTACCTTGATGAAACATTTGAAATAAATTGAACTCTAACCACTAATTTAATTCCAATTACAGTCTCATTTTCAATTTAACAATTTTCTTTATATTTCTTTTACTTTCAAACAATACGGATAAATTGAATCAATCTAAAGTGAAAAGAAAGTTAATCAAAGTAAATAATTAACATTTGTTTCTTACAATGTCCTAATGACATTGCCATTGAATCAAGTAATCAAATCTTAAAGGATGAAATTGCTCTTTTCCTCAGTTAATTAACCTCTATTTAAAACCTCAATTAATGACTGAAAATTGTGATGATCAACAATTTAATGGAAGCAATTGTTGATTATTGCTTATTCACGATGAAAACAAGAAAATATTTCAAAAATGATTATACCATTATCATTAGTTAAACTGATAATATTTCTTAACTGAATAATAATCATAATAATAGCTATCATGATGGCTATGATGGTGATGATGATAAAGTAGGCAAGTTAGACAACCTTGGTTAGTAATACAAAGACTGTGAAGAATGTTAAAAAAACTGAACTCCCAGATGATTATATATTAAATGAAGAAACGCGAATCACTTGCCTTTAATAAGTATAATAATATTGGTGATAATATTCAAGTAGTGATGAGCTTTTGTGTTCAAAGGCATTCAATAGGACAGAGCATGGCATTTAATTCGGTATCGATCTTATCATCAGGTTGATTGAAAGATACAAACAGAAAGGATTGGACTCTTAGAAAAGGCAAAGCTGAATGACAAGAGAGAAAAAAGTGGGCGAAAGAAAAGCTCAAAACCCAACATTCATCTTTTTCATTTTCATCCAACATTGCCCTGGTAACCGACCTTTTACTGATTCAATCCCAGAATTTATCACTCCATGGTTACACTTTCATCTGAATGTGTGAACTTCAGTCAGCTTCAAGTGAACAAAAAAGATACATACAAAATTACTTATAGAAATACATAAATGCAGAATGAAACTCTGAGCCTTTTTTACATAGCTTAACGTTTTCATCTTCTCTGTCTTAACATCGTCTATCATCTCTGTCTTCATAACCTTCTTATTTACCAACTGTTATCATCTTGCCATCTCATAACCTTTTCATTATATTTTCATGTTTCAATTTGCCAATTGTACAAACCCTTAACTATCCCTAAATCATCTGATTTCATAAACCTTTTGCTTTCCATCTACAAGTCTCTTTATTTTTCATCTGTGATTTAAACCGTTGTCTAATCATCTTCACCTTTATTAGTTCATCTCTATGTGATTATAACATTACAATTTAATCCCTAGTTTCTACCTTTTCAATCATAGCAATCTGTAACTTCATGATATTAGACAAGATAAATTGTTGAAACCAGAATCTGATTTTCCCATTAAGATTTGGTTGGTGTTACTATTCATACTTGGCTTGGATCAAAGTGTTGTTGACATTTTTTCCTGCTAATATACCAACCCATTGATTGTATTGACTAAACATGTTTATGTTCATAAATTCATCGGTTTCTCTCCTCATCTCAACATTCACTTTGGTTTATTTTATTAGTTTAAATGGTTATTTAATTGATTGCCTCTCACTAACTGAATTACATTCATCGTTGCCTTCCAATAATAATGTTAATAATTATAACCGGTACAAACTGAGGTTACTTCAAGAAAAATCAATCCGTGATGCTGTCCGTAATTTAAATCACCAACAACATGGTGGATCATCAAAGGATCAACATTATTCACTCAACCATCGATATCCACCAACAATATCCTCTTCACTGGCTGATAAGAGTCTTCCAGATGAGTTTAAAGCCAACCTTAACTATCTCATTTCACCTAAGACACCTTTCAATGAGATTGACAAAAGGCAAGATGAGGTTGTAATGGATATCCCATTGGAGGTAAGTAGTCAACAATATGATTAATAAATTACCAGTAATCAATATCAACTTCAAATCTATGCTCAATGTCTGTCCAGATAAACTCCAAGCTATATTTAAATATAAATGTTAAAAAAGTTCATTAAACTGGAATGAAATCTGTTGAAATCTATTGATACAAATATCAATAAATGATACAAAAATATCTATTTACGGCAAAATTTTCAATTGCAAATGCTCACCTTAATGAATAGGAAACCAGAATAGTGATTCTTTGGTGATTTTATTGATTCAACTATTTTTAACAGCCTATTATGAATGTTATCAAAATTTAAATTCATCCTTTGTAATTACTTTGAATTTAACAAATTCAATAGACTTATAAACAACAGCTTTTGTAAAGAGATTTATTCACTTGAAGCAAAATTTCCAAGCCTTTAAACTTACAATTTTCTTGCTCTTCCATTTCACTGATTTTCAATTTAATTGTTAATTTTTCACCAAACTGATGGTTAAACTGATTATTCTCAGTGTTATCACCTTAAATTCAATATTAGATCAAGTATATTATGGTTAATAACACTGGAACTAGAAGCAAAACAAAACCCAAACAAGTTCCTTAAAAGGTTATCAGAGTGCATTTCCAAGCGTAGGAAGCATATTCAGGGTTTATCTATGTCAAACAATTTTTATTTAACCTTTGTAAGTCCCAAAAAATTGGGTCAACAAGCCTTCACCGATTAAATAATCATTCAATTAAGATGTTGAATTGATTAAATGTTTACCTTTTGATAGCAACTTAAACATTGAAATGTTTAAAATTGAATCGCACATGTAAACCTGGATCAGTCTCGTTAAATCTCGTTTAGCTAATGAGACAATCAAATTTGGTTTAACCTGGTGATCAGTTAATTTGATTAAAAGAGCTGATTGTGTCGCAATGAGAAACTGGTTTCATTAGCAATTGTTAATCAATTCAATGTGACCATTTAGATCCCAGAATTTATTGATTGATCAAAGATAAAATTGCCATGTAAATAATACAAATGAAAACTAAAATGTGAATTGTAATTTGATGATTGATCATGTTTCATGTTAACAATTGAAAAATAATTTTCTATTCACTTTCTATTTGTGATATTTGGATGGCACAATGAACTTGAATCATGCTGATATTGATTATCAGATTAACATGCTGAGAAGCAAGTCTGAAAGGTTACATGAGAAAAAAACTGTCTAAATCAGCCTGAAATTGTAACTTTAATCTGTAAAACAAAATAAAAATGGTTTACCCAAACCTTTTACCAGTTTACCATTTACCCAGTTTTCACCATTAACTTGCATTTAAAAATGACCAGACCATTGTTTTAGGTTAATCCATTCATGGTCAAGGTTTATTTCATGGTAATAATATCAATTTGAAGGTGAAAAACAGCCAAAACAAAAGGTTTATTATTGAAATGATAAAATCAATTGAATAGCAATCAATTGTAATGAAAGATGAACAATTGTCAATCAAACCAAGTTTCATTTAATGCTTCCAACACAACCATTTACACAATGAATGATCAACAGATTAATCATTATTCACCATTCATACCAGAATAGATTGATAATTGTATTACCTTAATCACTAACACAAAAAAAACCTTTGATTGATAAACATTGATTAAAAATCAATGTTTATGTCTCATAACAAGTGAATAGATTGACTATTCTGGTTGGGAGTGATAATAAAAAAACAAATTGGCATTAAAACTGATAATCAAAATCGACCTCAATTACATTGTCACATCAAGTCAACACATAAACTGGTTAACCTAAAAACTGGTCAAAGCGTGCAAGTCATTGAGTTAACTAAGTGCTCAATTTAACCAGAGAGGTGATTAACGAATGAATTTACCCAAAACAGTTACCAAGAGTCAATCAATTGTTACAATGTATTCATTATTGAATCCCAACCAATTATACAACCCACCAGTCCATCGACACAACCAGAAACATCGACTAATACCAAAAATATCTGGTGTTAGTTCATTATTCTTGGGTATTTACCTTTTACTGATGGTTTTGGTAACCAAACCTATTTCACACGAAAACACCGACATTAGTGCAGTTGTAATAGCAAGCAGAGACTGTTTGGGTTACATTGGCCTTGCCATTGTCATGTTTTTCGGTACGAATTGGTCATTTCTTGATTCATCCAATGGGTTAACTATCAATTTAAATTGTCCAGATCACAATCCAACCTTCAACAGTTATGTTAAATTTCATCGTCTCGTTAAAAAGCTCATCTTGCTTGTAACCAGCATATATTATTATCTAGTTTATGATTTGTTTTTCATTGCATTGGATCGCAGGTATTTCATTGAAAAATCCTATCTGTCTAGATACATGATTCATTACGTGTTTAACTTGCTGTTAGGGTTTTTAGCCATCTTGGCTCATTCTGGTGCCATATATCTATTCAATATAATTTACGATGGTATTATAATATTGAATGGATCTTTCAAATGTTTCAATCAACAGTTGATTGATTTACACGGTAAAAGACCTTCACTTGATCAGCTTGGACAATTGCGCTGCTATTACAGCTATTTGATTCAGTCTACGTTAAAATTTGACCAATTTGCTCGCTATGAAATCTGTAGACTTTATATAAACTCTATTAGTGCCTACTTGTTTGGATTGCTGGGTTTATTTATTCATAAAAATGAAAAAACAACCATTATTAGTATTATTTTGATTTTCCTGTTTGATTCCCTGATAGTCATTGTATTGACTCTTAACTCTATCATGTTGAACAAAAATTGCCATCAAGAGTTGGAAACACTTTATGAATTATCCTTACCAATGAGATCAGCAATCTACCGAAGTGAGGTAAAATACAAATTAACCAAATTACCTAAATTACCAGGTTTAACCGACACATTAATAACATTAATACCTTTAATTGTATTTTCAGGTTATACTTTTTTACAACCGATTATCCAAAAATGATGTTGGCCTTACTTTCCTCAACATTTTTACATTGAAACCCAATTTTGTCCTTTCAATTGTAACTTTAGCTTTAACAATATTTTTAGCAATTCCAAGCTTTATTCCCCTCATATTGAAATAATTAAAACTCAAATTAAACAGTCAGTTTGATCATTAACTATCTATTAATTAATTAAACAGTCTATGCTTGTTTTAACTGCTTTTGTTCAACTTAATGTTATGCTTATTTAAAGCATTGAAAGCAACTTTAGGTTCAATTTTTTCGTTTAATATTTCAAAATTATAATTAAAAATCAATATCTTATTTTGTTATTTAAAAACAACCGAAGCAAGTTACAAATTTGAATCAATATTTCATTTCAATAAATTTGTTTCAATTTGCTTCTCAAGCAAATCTTAACATGCATCCAATTTTGTGGTGAAATTTCCAATAAGTTCAGTTTCATTTCATTACCCCAAGTCAATCATTTAAAGTCTCGGAATACATTGCAATGAACTTATTAAAAATTATGTTAACCTTTTCATGATTTATATCCTTTACCTGATCACGAGGATTAATCAACACAATGCCTTGGTTTAAATTGAAGTTAACCTAAAGTTGCTTTCAACAATTAATCTAATTGCCTCTGAGAAACAAAATAACAAGACAAAAACAAATGCTATTAATCAACTGACTCTCAAGTTGAACACAATTGCAGCCAACAAAATAATTATACAAAAAGGTCAACAAGTATCAAGTGATAGATTTGATTAAATCTTGATTAGGTAAAGTAAAAGTAAAATACATTTTCTCGTTAACCCAACAATCAGATAATTATATTAAAAGACCATTTGATCATTTAAATCAATCATTTATGCCATTCTCTGAAAGACAACATGGAAAGCTCAAAATTAAAACGCAATTCCAATGTAAACCTTAATTGTTTTATTGATTATTGAACACTATGTTGAAATTGAATGTAAAAGGTTAACATTTTAAATGATTGAAATACTGAACATTAATCATGAACAATTGTAATGATGAACATTAACCAGTTTAAGAAATATTAGTCTCAATCAATATTTAGACAATCGATTGGGTAAACTTAATCTCGCAAATGATAACATTGAATCTGAACAACAGCCTGAGGTGATTTCAGTATACGATTCATTGACCATTTTCATTGTAAATGTTACTTGTAAAACCAGAATAATCAAATTAATGATTTTAAATGAAAAGAAACTGCTGCATTCATAATTTTTTGATTAATTAAAATTAGCAAATCAACATTATTTGATGCCTTTAATGATCACTTTTTGCCAGTAAATTTTGCCTTTAACATCAACCAATTAACTTGCTATAAGGTATTAATTTGTTGAGTTCATTATTTTAATGATGAACACAATAAAAGCGATCAATAAATCGATTGAATTATTTATACTTTACTATTGACCTTTAATGCAAAAGTGTTCACTCCATTGTTGGGTTATAAAGATGATCATAAAATTGCAATTTGATCATTTAATATTGAAGTTAACAATTTAACTCTAAATTGTATTGAATAGACATCCAAAAATGTAAATTGTTGAGAATGAATTTAAGACGATTTTACCCGAAAATTATGATTTGTTTCATCTTTTCTAGATTAACTGGATTAATTGAGAGTTGAATTGTTGGTATTTCATTGAATCTAGTGTAATAATCACTTGAAATTGTTGATGGCTATTGAGTTTGAATAGTTTAAGTGGTAAGGAAATAGGAAGTTGCTGAAAGAACCCATTGAGTGACTGTAATTTTAATCAAATTTGTTGATAATCAATGACATTATTTGGTCCATTTAACATCAATATCTATCATTTTCAGAGGTTCATCAATATTTAATTGAATTACTTCAAGATAGGTGCAATATTAATCATTTAATATATTTAATGATGAAACAATGTTGATCTTTTTGCTGTAAAACCAATGAGTTATGGTATCAGTTGAAAGAAATGATAATTATAAATGTTATAATTTTTTGTTTTGTGTTTTGTTTCACCAAACATGGTGAATACACATCATTGGATATGTAAAATGACTGAATGTAACTTAAATAACAGAAAACTCAGGAGAAATATTATCATTGCTATTATTACGATTAGTTGTAACAATGTAATGATAATATTCATGGGCTCTTCACATTCATCATTTTTGTTCATCATCTGAGATGGTGGAACAAAATGAAACAAGATAAAAAGTAAAGCTAAATTGATGATTCAAGTAAGCTTAATTTTGTTCGTGTTTGTAAATGTTTCCAGTGAAAACATGGAGAAAAGTAAAAGAGTTGTACTGATAGATGTTAAAATAAGCTGGATTAAGGTAACAACATGAAATACTTTTCTCCTTTTCTCTTCGTTTGGTGCATATTGAGGAAAAAATTGCTCAGTTTTCATGTATTTCTTGGTGAATTTAAGAGTTAATAAAAGGTTTCAACAAAATCCTTGTTGGTTGTGTGATTTTAAATCTGGTTGATCATTAAGTGACATGGTTTTCCAGTTTACTCAGGAACAATTTGATAACAATCATTAGACATGCAATTTTCCAAGATTTAAACATCGTGTCTGATTGTTCCTTGGCTGTCAGATTTTTACAATTCAACAGTTACCAAAATTTGATGTTGATCATTTATGAGGTTTATAATTATTGCCGAGATGATTGTATTTTGGGTAAATTGAACAAATCAATATCCATCATTGACAACAGGTTAAATACAAATTACATTATGTATGATTTAAATGAGATTTATCCATTGTTGATTGATAAGAATCCAGATTTGAAATGATTATTTTTTCATTTGTGTAGGTTTGATCATTCAATGTTGTTATGGTTGTTGACAGTGAACTTGGTCCATGGCATCACAATATTGAATCAAATTGTTTCAATTATCCATCTGATTATTCCTATTCTCTTATAGTTACAATTGAAGGACACATTATTAGAGTTTATTAATCAGTTGTCCTTGATAATTTGACTTGTGGTTGACTTATATGACCCTTTGATTTCCAGTAATTTAAGTAATTTGTTCAAGTTGATCGGTTATGAAACCTATAGAAATGGAGAAAAGATGAAGAAAATGGGAATTAGATAAAGTATCAAACAGTATTAATAATGAAAACTGATCAAGTTAACGTATGATAGGGTTGCCTTGAAACAATTTCATCAAGAATAATTTGTTTTGGCAATAACCATATTATATTAATTTTATCAGGAGTGATTAAATGTTATTTGCTGAGAGTAAACTTTACCTTAGAGGAAAGATAATACAATCAAATGAGCATATGAAAAAGAAGATGAAAATATAACAAATAATATTTACTTGATAACTCTAAAGGATTATCTTTAAATTCACTTCAGGCCTTTGATTTACACCAGGCAAACCTTGAGAACAGATTAAAACGTTCTGAAAAAAAGATAGAGAAATAAAAAAATGTTAATGCTAAATACAAGTAAAGGTTTATATGGATCAATGAGTATAGACTATGGTTGAATAACATGTTGTATTGCTAGATTACCTGTTAAATTATCTAGATCTATTAATTTGACTTTTTTTCCTGACTTTTTTTCCTCAGTACACATCTGATATTCCATATGAAATCTATCCTGATCCAGGATTTTTGAATCAATATCCTTCACTTCAAGGTAAAATTGATGATTTGAGTCCATCGGATGTTTACGAACAGATATTGGCTGCTAAAATCGCCAACCTCCTAGAAAAGGATCAATCTCAACATGGTCAAGCTCTTTTACAATACATTCCGTCAGCTGATCGCAAGAAGAGAGTCCTGGTGAAAAGAAATAATCGAAGTGGTATATCGAGAAGTCATAAAAAGTCTAATCGGGTATCAACCAGTCAGTCAACAAAACCACGTGTTAAAGCAGAAACGCAACCCCAATCGGTACCAGAAACTGGACATCATCCAGCAACAATCCGAGAACATAAATTGACTAAAATACCACCCAAGAAACTAGGAGAGACTAAGCAAGAAAAATTAAACCGAAAAGAGTTGTCATTAATGTCTCGAGCTCCATTACATAGACAGGCTGTGAAGGGAGATTCTGATCGATCAAACCATACACTAACAAAGATCAACCATTCCAAAGTAATTAGTAAATCCGAGTCAAACATAAATAACGGGAAACATTCTTTTGCGAAAAATTTGCGTAAAACTGAAATGCTCCGTAATCCAAGTGTGAACCTGAATCGAAAGGAGAAATCGAAAGTTGGAATTAATAAACAGCAGTTAAGCATGAAGGAATTTTTCAATGAAGTTGACTTACCTAAAGGACCTAAAAATATTGTCAAAAGATCAATTGTTTCACCTTCAGTTGAATCAGGTAATCTTGGTTTCAGACGAGATGATGATATTGTTGACGGTTACAATGTGTTTGCCAATGATGATGATATGGATACAGGAGCTGATAGTGGTGAAAGTGATAAAGAGGAAGACTTTGAAGGTGAAATTAATGATGAATATAGACCAATTGGTCAGGCTTCTGCATCTTCAATGGTAGTCCAGGCAAATCCATGGTTAGCTGATGAAGCAACAAGAACATTAATGAGATCTTTGTCAGTCAAAAGGCGAAAAAGGGGATTCACTGCTGATCAGATGGCATTGCTTGGTTTGGATGACAGTGAACTATTGAATAACAATGATGATGATGATAACAACAACAACAATAGTGATAGTAATAAAAAATTTATAAAAACTTACAATGAAGACAATATAAATGAAAGGTTAAGTGAACCTGATGAAATATCCAAGACTGATACTCAAGATTTTGACGAGGCTCCTACACGCATAGTAAAAAAAGATGGGGCCACTTTAGAACCTATTACAATTATTGATGATTTAAAGGAGAGTAAAAATATCGATGATAAAGGGATTGATAAAAAAAGATCAGGTTATGGTGAAAAATTGGAAATGAACAGTAATTCAAACAAAGGATTATCCAAAGGACAGCAAAAGTCAATCAATGGATTAGAGGAGGGTGAAAGTGATGACGCGGGAACCAATGATACTTTCTTTGAGGAGGAATTTGCTGAAGGTTTAATCTCAATTGGTGACTTAAGTGATTTAAATCCTTTAAATGACACTGCTTCAACTAATTCACCAGATAACATGAAAAAACGAGATGAAACTCCAGAAAATGGTAATCAAAATCCTCCATCAACAAGTTCAACTTCCCCGCCCATTCAATTAGCCAATGCTGATGAAGAAAGGCTTGATAGCAAATTGGATGAGCTGATTGTCAATGGATCATCTGATCATGATGGTGAACTGTTGGAAACAACTATTGATGAAAGTAAACGGATTTATGTTAATAAAAAAAAGCGAAGTGTAACTCCATATTTTGGAAGAGTCGATGAGTCTTTAATTACTCAGGAAGAGGCTAAATTCACGGATGTTGACGATAAACTGGAAAAGATTGAAGAAGCCCTGATCTGGGAAGCTTTAGATTTAATTAAATCTAACCTAGACAGTGAATCTGGTGATATTGGTGGTAAAAATGTGAAAAACAGGATCGAGTCCAGGTTGAATGCTGCCTACGATTTGGAGGATATGAGAATTTCTCTCACTGATTTACACAAGACCATGCAAAAAATGTCCACTGAAGACGATGAAGCTGATGACAACAACACCCAAAATAATGAAGTTGATCAGGAAACCATTTTTGATAAAGATGATGGAATTATTTTCTCAGATAATATAGAAGACAATGGCAAGGAAATTGGAATTATTGGACATCAATTAAATCAACCATCAACTCCATATTTGTCGGATAATCATCATGATCAAATGAAGCCTAAAGATTATAGTTCAAATCCAGATGATTCGGGTGAGTTTCACTAATACTTTTTTTTATTTGATCAAATTTTTGTGCTTATTACAGATTTGGTTAGACTTATTTTTAATCTTAAATCATTATTATCAACTAAAGCTGACCGGTGTCCAGAGACTCCAATGCCAGTAAATAAGATTTAAAATAATGCTAACCAAAACAATCGACTCAATACAAATGACAAAGTTATATTCATCATTATTCATAAATCAATGTTTTTTATATTTTGACTAATTTCCCATTAGATGATTGTAAGGCAATTCAATTGTTAACAAGTGATTGCTCAGCTGTTAAAGATATTGTTCCCAGTGGCCCATTGGAAAAGATTTTTGTCCGAGCTTGTAATTGGCATGAAGTTTGCTATTCATGTGTAAGTTATTGAAACTGAACAATTTTTTGTGCTTACTCTCAATATGTTGATAATAGTTCTAGTTTAAGTGATGTAAATTGATATCAAGCGTTTGTATCTCAAGAATTGGAACAATTTGTTCAAAAATTGCTTCTCTATCAATGGTGAAATTGACGATAGAGTCTTTACTCTTGGCTCGTTTTTCGTCAATTCTTGCAAATGGTTTACTTTTTGTTAACATTTTAACGGTCAAAATAAACCGATTTGACCATGATAATAGTAACACAATCTCAAATTTCCATCGATTTTCAAATCGTCTGAACCAGAGTGAAATATAATACGAATTGACTCCATCCAAATCAACTCGTTCATTGTAAAAAGCAATAATAATGATTGAAATTTTTCTGATGAAGTTAATTTTACACTTTGATATCCAATTTCACTCTTTCCCTCACTCCTAATCAACCTGATCAAATACAATCATAAGCGGATAAGTGGACACTATCAATCAGTTTACAATTAAAATCCTTTTCAATTTAAAGTCATGTGGACTTACGGTATTTATGGTATTCACAGTAAAACTAACTTGACCAGAATACCAAGAATGAAATCGGTTAACCTAAAATACACAATTCATTATATTTTTTCAAACAATTCAAATTCAAATATTAGCTGTGTCAGATATTTTAGTTTTTATTTCATTTTTTCCGTTCAAATATATTGATAAAAATGATAAAAACATCAAAATATCTAAACTGATGGACAGATCTGTATAAACTCAATTTATATCAATGTTACTCTTTTGTGTGTGAAATGGATTCACGTTGGAATGCCATTGGAAGATAGGTTGTGATGTTCATAATTTATCGTTTATTCCCGTTCAACTAGATTATAATTAATTATATTTGTAACAAAAATAAATCAGTGGCATGATAATGTATTTCACCAGAAACAGCAACAAGCAGAAAGTAACTGAAATTAAAGGAAATAACAAAAAAAAATAATCAATTTTTCTCATTCCTAATATTATTTCATATCTTGGATTCCTTCAGCTCTGGTTGTTTGGCAGCATTTCATATCAATCTTGATTTTATTATTTTACTCTCGTTTTTTTTCATATCAATTACAGTTCCAATGGCTCAGCATTGAAAAATTGAATATACATGGTTGTGATGTTTGAGCAAAAGGATAACCTAAAGAATGAAATACAGACTGATCTGAAAAATTTGCAGTTTTTTTCGTTTCATTCATCAGATAACATTATAAAGATTGAAGGAAAGGTTGAATTATGCATGAATCATCTTTAAGCTTGTACATGAATAAAGGATTCATTATTCATTTGAAAACTAGTCAATCCTGGAATAACATTGAGAATGATATTGGTGATGAATAAATAAAGATGAGCTTAAGCTTTAACCATTTAATTAGGTATCATTGGCCAGTTTCATTGTTGTGTTTATTTCACCCAATTTATTCCAGTTTTTCATCGTCATTACCTTATGATTCAATTGATTAATTCATTGTAATTTTGCTCAGTTAATTCATTCAATGACTTTTCTTTGTAAATCTTTTTTCCCTTTGTTTATCAATTGCTTGTTACATAAACTGCTCAATTATTGACTCGATTAATACGATCTTAATTTAATCTTTCTCTCTCAATTGATTCAGGTTGATTGATTATTAATAGCTTTCAGTTACTTTGCCTACTTTTTGTCTTTACATAACCTTTATGAGACTCTGTTTCGCGATAATCAGTCAATCTGCTCTAATCAACACTAAATTAGTGCATGTTAACATGGCAGCTGAATAAGTTGCCAGTTTTTCAGCAGATATTAAAAATTATTGATTGCAATTCATTCTTATTAGATAAAATCTTCATGATCACAGACAATAATAAATCAGAATCAATTGTAAATCTTCATTTTCATTTCCAATCCATTTGACACAGTATTACATTGTTATAAATGATAAAAGCTGAAAGTAGGAAAATCCTTTTATTTTTAGTCTGAAAAATATTTCATTTCAGAGATAATATCTGGTGAAAATCATTTAACCAAGACAATTCTGGTTGAGGAAGACAAAAATGGATGATTTATCAAGTCTTTAAAGGATAAAATCTGATTTGTTGCAAGAAAATATTGAAAATATGAAATGGTCCAATCTTTGAAATCCATTTCATTTGGCTTTTATCCTTACCCATTGAATTGAAATGAAACAATGTATTTGGATTTTAGTGTAACTCAACCTTTAATCACAAATTGAGACAAAACCCATTAAAGATACAAGAATTACGCTTCTGATGTTAACTATTCACTTTAATTGCACTGTGTTAATGATATTGACTAATTTTGATTTACTTTTTTCTTCATATTTGCAGGGTGAACTATTTGGCTTATTATCTAGTGATTGTGACATGGGATTTCTGGAGCAAAGTCGCCTTGCTTGTAACGATTCATCTTCATGTGAAACAGCTTCAAGACTGATATTGATGCCATTGAGGCAAAGACGGACCTTTTACAAGCGAAAAGTATCTCCAATGTGTTACCAACAACCCTGTATTGAAAGTTTTTTACTTAAATCACGTTGATCTGACTGGACAAGGATAACCTCAGGATAACTCATTGAATTGTTTCCGAAATGTTCATTACTATTATTTGGATATTTATCTTCATCTTCAACTTAACCTTCATTATTCTTCCTCGTTCATTGAGATTATAAAAGTTATAATGAATTGGATTTTATCCATGTATTTAAATATGTCTGTGGTTTTTGTTAATCATATAAATAAGATTAATTGATTTATAATATAAAAAAGAAACACTCTAATGTTTAATTCAATTGCGATGTAATACTGAATTTACAGTGTTTATCATTCAAATCTTTGTCAACTTTCCTAAGCTTACCTCCAATCTTTGCTAGTCATTTTAAATTAACTGTTTTCGTCTTTGCCTTTGACCTTTTATTGATGCCATTTTTTAACAAAATTTTTGTCCCTTTCGTTCCCTGTTAAAATTGAAGAATCCTGATTCATATGATTAGAATTTTGATAGTCGATTTCAAACAAAACGTATGTTAAATGATCTTAAAGATGGAATGGAAGCTTTCAAATCAAACCTTTGAATGTTAAACTCTGTGAGTGATTTAAATATAAACATTCAAATGATGTATGTCTTGCTATGTCAAAAAATGGATGAAACATTAATTTGAATTTAAATCAGGAGAAATCTCATTTTATCGATCAATAATTTCGTGTAATTTCACAAAGCGAGGTTGGTAACAAAATGTACTCAAAATGCGATTCAACATTTTCAATTTAACCCGGCTTTAAGGTGAGGCGTAACTTAGTAACGGGGTGATTAGATAAATCGGAAACTGAGTTTAAAGAATTAATTTTAGCGAAATTGAATTCAAAAAATAATTTATTTTAATTGTAAATAAAATTGAAGAATCGCGGAATCTCAAGCGGCTGTTAATTAAAATGAATATACTTATTGAATGTGAACTATTTGGTAAAATTAAGTTTTGTGATTTAGTTTTATAATTTTCAAGTGATTCTAATCACAATTAAGCAAATCAATTCAATAATTCATTTTTATAATTTTCGTTTCAAAAGCAAGATTCATTTTACTATTTAAAGCTCGCGCGTTTGGGTGGATAGAGGGTGCTTTTTGTTGCCTTAGCAACCACCCGGAAAAGGAAAACAGATTTAGATTCACTAAACACAAACCTTAAACATAGCTGTTTGAGTGATCTTTCTATTTGTTTCGTATTTCCTTAGTTAAATTTAATTTAAATTGTTTCAAAATGGATGATTGGGCCGATGGTTCAGGATTAGCTGGGGCTGTTATGTCTGAGCAACCCGAAATTAAACTTTTCGGTCGATGGACGTCTACCGATATTGAAGTTTCCGATATTTCATTGACTGTAAGTACCACGAGTTTCTATCTATTTTCTTCAAACCTAACAAATTATCATCAAATGAGTGCCGGTATTTAATCTTTCCATCTTTTATTTTAGGATTATATCGCAGTCAAAGAGAAACATGCACGATATCTCCCTCATTCAGCTGGTCGATATGCTGCTAAGCGTTTCAGGAAAGCTCAATGTCCCATAGTAGAAAGATTAACTAATTCAATGATGATGCACGGCCGAAACAACGGAAAAAAGCTCATGGCTGTCCGTATTGTTAAGCACGCTTTTGAAATCATCCATCTGTTGACAGGAGAGAATCCATTACAAATCTTAGTTGATGCTGTTATCAACAGTGGTCCTCGTGAAGATTCAACTAGAATTGGTCGTGCCGGTACTGTTCGTCGTCAAGCTGTTGATGTCTCACCACTTCGTAGGGTTAACCAAGCTATTTGGTTACTATGTACTGGTGCTCGAGAAGCTGCTTTTAGAAATATCAAGACTATTGCCGAATGCTTAGCTGATGAATTGATCAATGCCGCTAAGGTTAGTCCCTTTCTAGTATCTCATTGTTTCTCAAATATGCAATCATTGAGAAAAATCCTTATTCTCTAAAATTTCCATGATATATTAATTTATTGTTTTACTTTACAGGGATCATCAAACAGTTATGCTATCAAGAAAAAGGACGAATTGGAACGTGTCGCTAAATCCAACCGTTAAATCTGTAAAATTTCTGAGAAATTAATTAAATATGAGTTTGTCAAGAAATATTTTTTGTGTTTATTTATTTTTACACTTATATATATTAATGTGAATCTGGATCTGCAAATGGATTTCTTAAAAATTTTGTATTAGCTAGCAAACTATTGAAATTATTACATCTCTCGCCTCCTGCTAATCTTCCTAAAGTTTCACTCTGCGTCATAGCCCCTTTTATTAGCTAAAATATTTACCTATCTTTCAAATTATTAATAGAAACCAATTTATTAATTATAATTAATATTACATTAGTATTTAGTTATGTTGAGATAATGAGCATAAGCTTTAACTTTTTCTTCTGGTTTCAGTCATAGTAATTTTTAATTCTGTGGTATTAACTAAAAATTGGTAGTTCTCATTTATTTCTATTGTCCCAGTTGGTTGATTGTTTTTATTTCATTCCAATCATTTCATCTAATCTATTTGTTGAATTTTTTATGAAGCTCTATTTGATCATCTATCATCAATTTTTACATAAATCTTATTTTATTTGCATTGAAACAATTCTTTTAATGAATCAAAACTTAATGATAATGACGAATAAACAGAGTCAATAGACATAAATTAGCTAAATAAATTTGATTTTATTGCTTCAATTCAATACAGCATTATAATATACAATCCATGGTAACAATTATAATTTCTTAGAGCAGAAAGATAATTAAATTTTCAAAAATAATCGCTCGCGCTTCTCAGTCTTAGAGATGTAACTTCGATCAGCGTTCGTAAGTTACATTTGTATTTTGAATTATAATTTTTTATCTTATATAAACCAGTTTGCGACCAGTTATTTTATCTTTCGAATTACATCATATATTAATTTTATATCTTTTAAATGATCATCGTTTCATTGGAGTAACTTTTATATGATGATTTTACTTTGGTTGATGAGACTAAACCATTGTTGGATGATATATTGTTGAAGGCACTACTCGGTGAGTAGTGATTATTGCTTTTATTGGCTGATTGATCACTTATACCAATTGGGGAAGATCCATTATGATGGGAAGATGACATGGATGACGTAGAGAAAGACTCAGACCTAAGGTCACTGGAATGGCTAGAGATGATACCTCCACTTGATATTCCTGTATAACTTCCGTTGCTACCAACTAGACTATCACAATAATCAGAATCATAAGGATATGTTATACAATCATCAGGCGTTACAATACTATTTGAAGTTTGTGTTGATGCATCATAATAAGGTGATATAATACAACGTTGTCTACATTGATGACATTTCTGATACCGAGAACCACTTTTGAGTAACCTTTCTTTTGATCTTTCTTCTAATATTTTAGCTATGATAGCAGCAGATACATGGTCAGGACCATTACTTTGATTGCCTCCGGATTCTTTAGTTTCTTCATCAACCTTATTGACGGAATAAACCATGGCCGTTGGCGGAAATGTTGAAATGGGAACTCTAATGGTTTTACCATTACCAGTTTTGCTCTCGGATTCTCGATGTGCTTTATTGATGCTATTGGATATACCACTTCCTATACTTAAACTTCGACGTTTGCCAAGACTATTATTTGCATAATTGTTGCGTATTCTCTCTTGAAGATCAGCAGGCAGCTGTGATAAAGAAAACATTAGTTTAGTAAAATATCCAAAAATAAGCAACTTTTGATTTATGAGAAAAAAGGAAGAAATTGTAAGTTTAACATACCGAGTTAACCTTGTAAGAAACAAAATTCGAAGGTTTACACTGGAGTAAATTAGCAGCTAAAGTACAATCATTTTTATAGTGTTCATTTTCCTCTTCTATTTCGTTGATTGTAACTCTTGCTTCGACTAATTTACTAGTTAAATCAGCAATATCTTGAGTTAATGTGGTCTTTTCTGACTCGAATTTATCTACAATACGAAGCAATTTATCCTCTAATCCTTGATTCACTTTCTGTAATTTTCTATGGCTTTCAGAGAGTCGATCGTATTTTTCTTGCCAAAATCGGAGAGTTTCTTGAAGAGCCTGAAATTCTCCATTTGGGTATTCTTTGGCATGGTCCATTACTGAGGTTTCCATTTGAACAATGTGGTAATCTCGCTCAGCAACTTGACGCTTAAGATTTTCGATCTCTTGGTAGAGTTGGACAACAACAGAATCTCCGTTTTTAGAACCATTGCATTCATAAACACAAGATTCACAGTGACAACTACATTCCTGAAAATAAATAGCAAACAACAATATTCAATAAAAAGATATTATAAGAAGAAAGAGAGAGGAAAAAGAAAGAAAGGTATCAGCACCAAAAAAGTAAAATGTAGCAATAATAAAAAGCTGGAAAGGAGAAAAAAGTGACAACAAAACATTTCACTGTGTCAACTTACCATAACTTAAAATACAAAAACAGAAAACGAACGCAAAATATATCAACTTGAAGAACTAAAGTGTGATGTGTTGACGACTTTTCCCATTAATGAAGATGTGATCCAGAAAATAACAAAACAAAACAAAAACCAGATCAAATTAAACCCTTTAAAAATAAGAAGATTAATTTTGACTTTAGTTTCCAAGCAACTCTTTTGTTTGTTGACTTGGAGCTGATTTGGTCTGAGACAATGGTTGTGATTAGTTAGAAAAAAACAGTAGAATAATGGTTCAATCAATCACATTGATTAACAACGCAAAAAGTTACAAATCACTATTAAAAAGAATCACAATAAAATCACTAGATTAATCGATTAGAATTCTGTTGACACATTTTATTTTTCAAAGCTCGAAGGTTTCAATCAATTCAGGATTAAAGCCTACATCAACAACAAGATGGAGCTATGACTTATTAAATAGCTCCATCTCACGGCTGTCAACGATAGATGATTAAACTGCAATTCGTATTTTGAATTTAACTTATAATTGCAAATTGTTGATCTCATCAATTAATTAAGGTCAACTCATGTTTTTTCGAATTTTTAAGTAAATTTTCTCGTTACTTTTATAACTTGTTCAACCTATCATAGTTATTGTAACCTTACTTTAATTTAACCTTTAGTTTATTTCATCTGACTCTATGTTCATTGAAAAATGGCAATCGCAAGTTTACAATCATCTATGGAGACAATTTAGTGTGTAATCCAATCAAATCATTAATAACTAATGTAAAACTTATTTCATAACTGCAATTTATTAATTTGTATTATTTATGTAATCATAATTCTCGTCGATGAGTTGAGAGTTATTGTAAATTTTATTTTAATTTGGTGAGCATAAACCTTACACTTGAATTGAACATGAGCTGACAATTTAAGAAATTTCGATAAATTTCTTCTTTCTTATTCACTCTATTTCAGTTTTCTGGTCTTATAAACCTGTAAAATTGTGTTAACAATTCAACAAGGGTTCTAATTGTATGTAGATCAAACTATAATGTATTGTGACAATAATTATTTTATACAATCCAAATAAAGCTACCATTAAAGAATAGCATTACAAGATATGTTTATACATCTGTGTCTAAATTGATATGGTTACAGTGATAAGGTCAACATCATTGACCGTGCAAGGTAATGGGCAAACCTAAATAGTCAACTTAAATGTACCTTGACCAATTTGATGTTTATTATGTGCTAATAATAAAATCATTGTTTTTATCATCACCATTTCAATAGTAATGAATGTGTCCATCAACAAGTGAACATACTTGATGAAATCTCTTCCTATCCATCGCCATAAACATTATCAGTGCCATTTCCTTTTTCCTTCCAGTTCCAATTCATTCCGATTCACTGGTTTGATGAGCTAAGGTTACTCATGATCATTATTATGACTATTACAATTTGACGACCTTAAAACTCTTGATCCCATAAAAATAGTTTCAATTTCGAAATGCGAATCTAAAAAGTTGTTACTTTATAGTCTCTATACTCTAACCACAACATGCAGCAGCTTCAACTGTTTATGGTGCGTGTTTTATGATTTTAAGTTTTTTTTGTCATTTCTCCTTTCATTGTCTTGATAAAACCATATTTACACTTTAATCTTATTAATATATTGTTTACCAGACTCTCAGCTGATCATTTTCAATTCTCAAAGTAAAATTATTTCTTAATCAGAGCGTACTTCACATTACAGGATCAAAACATTTATCACCTCTTCCATCCCATCTCTAAATAATATATCATTAATATTTATTGTTTTCCTTCCTTTTTTTCTTTTCATTCGATTGTCTTCATTATACAATTTGGATTTCATTCAACAGTTTACATTCCACGAAAGAAGGACTGTCCAACTTACTTTCGACTCTTCTTTTGCCAACACAGTTTACTTTTGGTGACCAAAAATAACCCAAACCTAATAGTGACTTTATAATTTACATCAACCAGTCGTTATTCATCAATCATCAATCCATTTATTGGTACAAAATCATCAAATATTTTCCTCATTTAGTGATCAATACTCAATGTGCATTGTCAATTGTTGAAACTATAACTCAACTATGTTACTATTTTTCACTTTTGATCGTTTTCCCCATTTTCTCATCAATATGTGTCTTCACCATCTTTCACCGTAAATGGCTATCCTACAAAAGTTAGAATCAATTGACCAATGGACTACCATTGGAATATAATTTTATAAGATTTGTGCGTATCTGTGAAAGCATCAAGCTACACTCTTCATATACTCAAAGACTAATCAATTTTGGATTTGCTGTTCTTTATAACCACAAATCTCAATCAAAAATGTATATTAAAGTCAACTTTGTACTCTCTTTTTGTATAACGATAACAATCATCTGTGTTAATAAGCTGGTTTGGGCTGGAGATAAATTTGTTGAATCCAACACAATTGTGGTACAAAATGGGAATGATGGAGGTGACGATGATCATGATGAAGAGTCTTCCATAATTTACACACCCATTCCCATTCCGATTCCAATGAAATTAAAAAAGTCAATTGTCAATCCAAGCTACTTATATCCGTAAGTATACTATCCATGAATGACGCCATTAATATTATTGCCTATCATTAATGAGGCTATTAAATGGTTAAGAGGTTAATCCATCTATCATCAAGTGTGATCATCGCAACTCATTAATCAATCTTTATGTATTGTTTTGTATTGTTTTACTCACCCAACCAGAATCCATCAAGATCCATCCATGCCAAGCTACCGGATGACTCAACGATCAATTATTCATGTACCATCACCAGCTCCCAATTTACAGCCAACACCAAATAATTTTTACAGTAGATTTCGAACGGTTCCACCGACTCATTATGCACTTCCACCAAGCTACAATGACCGTCTTCCCATGCCTATTCATCCATCTTCTAACGAGCGTCAATCTTCACAATCCTCTCAAGCTCAACCTCCACCTCCACCTCTTGTCCTTTCATCACCTATTCCACCTCCTTTACCTTTATCTGGACCAGTCCCAACAGGTCCACCGATGCATTTATCTCAATCACGTCCATCAGTATCAACCAATTCACCTTCATTTTTCCCTCCAATTCAACCGATACCAAGTGTAGCTCAAGTATCTGATGATCGTGATAATCGTTATTTCAGCTTACACGAACCTTGGCCTCCAGCATATACTAATACCAACGGAGACAAGAATACAATTAAAATGACAACGTCAACTGAAGTTCAGAATGATGGTAACTCGGAGGTTCTCCCAGAGGATGAACGAAATCCAAATAACAATGCTAATAACAACAACATGGCTGGTCCTGACGATGGTCGAAATGGCTTAGTTGATTATCCACCAGCAGATCAAGATTATGGTCAAAATTATCAAGCCAATTATGATAGGCCAGACTATCCTGCCAATACTGATTACCGAGAAGATTATCAAGCAAAAGCTAATAAACCTGGAGGTGATGGAGTGACCGAAACGGTAGATGAAGGAAATGGAGGTGGAATTGATGACGATTATTATCAAGATTATCAAAATCCCCGTGATTATAATGATTATCAGGGTAAACAAGTTGAGAATGATGTTGCACAGCCAAATCTGAACTATCCATCAGACTCACAGGAGGTTGTTAACTATCATAACCAGGATGCAAATGATTATCAAGCTGGTGGGCAAGAACCGGTTTATGGTGATGGTTATCCAGCTAATGAATTACCTAATCAGTCTAATGAACAAAAACAAAACAATTATGAAGAGGGGAACCATCAATCATCTCAATCAACATCATTACCACCTTCACCACAAACAGATTACACTCAAGATTATGCTGATGATTATTATTCATTAGGTAATGGCCAAGGCACGAGCAATGAACAAACAGATGTAAATAATAATCAAATAGATAATCCGGATAATAACGAAGAGGATGAAAACCAGAGAAATGACAATGAGAGATTTGACCAATTGTCTCCTAAACCATTGAACCAGTTTACCAAAGAGTCAACACCAATTCCAGACCGACCAATGGATTATCCTTACTCAAGCGATGGTTATAATGAACCATCGATGAGTCCATTTGAATCTACACCAATGGTTACCATTCCATTGAATCCTGGAACCGAACCAGGAGTTCGCCCTCTTCCTGATCAAATAAATGAGTTTGATTTGACTGGAGATCCTTATCTGGACAATTATGGACGATCTATGAGAGACAAATCACAACCAAACTCCATGGAGAATCACATTAATCAAATTAATGATGGAGATTATGGTAAACGCAATCAACAATATCATTTTAATAATGTTAAAGATTCTTCCTCTCGACCAAATGATTATCCACTTTCAAATGATCAACAAAATGACGATTCAACTCCTCCAGCTCAATCCAATTATAACAATGATTGGCCGATGGAAAATGATTATTATCAACAAAATCGACAACCAATGATTTCTCAATCAGCTCAACCTCCATCATTACAATCACCTTCATCTCCATCACAATTAGATTCAAACAGAGAATTGGATAGTCCAATTGATCGTTATGATCCCGAAGATTGGGGACAGTATTAATTTATTATATAAAGTAAATATTAATATGAAAAGTAAAATAATATTTCAAAAAATCATTATTTCAACAAATTTAATCGACTAAGAATTGTACCAAAGTAATATTTGTGTTTTTATCAATACAATTAATTTAATTGACCATTAAATTTAAATATTTTTGTTTTATTTTTAGTCTTGATTTTAATTTGGGTTGAGTTTAATTAGTTTGATAGATTTGAAAAGAAGTGTGATCAAAAATGAAACTCACAATTATATTTATATTTTAATGAAAGAGGAGGAATTTGAAAGGGAGTTTGATTTACAATCATACCTCCACAGTTACGATCAAAAAAATGATCAAAACAGAAAACTAAGTAAATTGATCAACAAAAAGTGATTAAATAATAAGAAAATCTAAAGTGATTAGGGGTATAAGACTCATTTCACCGGTAAGAGAAGGTAGTTTTAAAAAGTTTACACATCGAAAATGAAAAATTGAATTGTTCAAATGGTTTTTTTTGTAAGCTTTTGTTGCGATAATGCAAGGGTTAAATCATTGTTATCAAATACATAAGAAAATCACAAAATTTTAATAAAATTCCTGTTTCCTTGTATTTAAAGATAGCCTCGATATAATTCAGTATCTTAAAAGTGCAAAATATGTAAAATAATAATCTTCTATGCTAGTTGAACACGACTGATAATAAAAAAAATATCAGTTGAAATAAGCTTTCGATTATCAAACACCGAGATTTGTGTAAATATAAATATGTAATATATTTATATCTATAATTTTACACATTTTATTCCCTCTTGATCGGCGCATTCATCATGACCCATGTCTAGTTATAGTCATTGTCTATTTATTGGATCCATGGATTCGCATCTAAGATTTTCATCTTGGTTTCTTTATTCAGCTCAATAAGGTAGTTTAATTTGTTGCTGAGCATATTCAGTTCCAATTAGACCACGACAGATTAGCGAAAATTCGTTGACAATTTCCTTAATTTTACGTTTACTTCGTTTCTCTCGAAGAACTGATTTGACGAACTGCTCTTTTGCTCCAATTGATGCTTTGGCTGTTGGAAAATCTTGCTTATTTACATATACAGATAGCCAACGAGTTATATATTCTGGATATTTTTGATTGAGAGCGACTAAGATGTCCGACATAAGATCGACATTTATCCGAGGGGAACAATCACCACCAATTACGTTCAACACTTGACCCACCAATGATTCACCTTCTGATAAGATTATTCGTTGTAATTGCTCTTGGTCCCGACTTTTGTTGATAAATTCTGTAATGAAGCTGGTCACAGCTCGAACGGTTGGTTTCTCTGCAGCTATCAGAGCAGCCATTGCGCATTGAAACATAGATAAACTATCAATGTCCATTGATTTATGAACAATTGAAACTTTTTTCATTATTAACCCTGCCACTGAGTAAAAGTATTCAATTAAGGAACTATTCTGTCTCACATCAGCACAATGTGCAACTGTTAAATTGCAAATTTGACCATAGAAAGGAATCAGGTAAGGTTGAAGGTCACTATCAGTACCAAATAGGATCATGATTTGTTTCAGAATGTCAAGTAAAGAAGGTTGAAAGGAAATTGAGTAGACTGAGTTGATCATAGAGATTATGTCCATAACTAGAGGTTTGACGTGATCAAGAAGATTTGCTAAGGATCGTTTAAAACAATCGGAGACGGCATCGATAACTGCTTCATCAGCCGACCATTTAGTTACAACTCCATTAAGTAGAGGTAGAATCTAATATTAGATAATGAATGAAATAATTGAAATAATAAGAAATTTAATACAAAAAAATGATATTAGTTTCATAACAATAGATTTTTCTTTATTTTTATGATAATTTCGATTACAAACCTCTTTGAAAACTGGAAAACCGGGATGTATTTCTCTTTTTTCTTCTTTAAATCTGACTTTGATTTGCTCATTTTGTTCAGGCTCGACTTGTTTAAAATCAGGATCGAGAGTAGCGAAGAGCATTGTCAACATGTTAATTTGGGCGACGACCATATTACGAACAGAAGGTAGATTACTACAGGTTGAGATTTTAGGATCCAGAGATTCTTGAAGACTATGAAGGATCGGAGGTAGAATAACATTTAAATAGTTCATAACATAATCATGAGGCATGACTGTTAAAACTTGACCAATGGTACACATTAAACGTGATCGTTCCTTAGATGCCAAAGGAGATTCTTGTCGTAAACTTTCCTCACACGCAGTCAATAATTGATGAGCATAAGGTACCATAAGTGGTTGACATTCACGAGTAATATCTTTTAGAGCCATGGTCGAAGTAACGATGGCAATATGATCACTCTTTAGTCCCATTAGAAGTAATGAGAGAACACCGGGAAGAAATTCAGGATGGTTATAGATCCACTCACAGTATGATCCAAACATTTCCATTATGGTAGCAATAAGACGAGGAGATTTGAGCTGATTAAAAGGAATCAGGTTAAGTGACTCGAATAATTTAGTAATATAAACACTTTCTGTAATATCGACGTTCTCTGCAATAGAGCTGAACGCAAACATGACAGCTTCCAAATATTGCCAAGGTTTATCTGAACCAGTGGTCAAACTTTGGTTCATGTGATTAAGTGATAAAGTAAAATGAGACATGAGAGAAGATAACATAGAGACTCGAAGCATATTGTAACAGTACATGAGACAGTCACCAATATCCTGTCGATAGCACCGGAAACTCTCTTTATCCTCGCTGGTCCAGTCATTTGAATAAACAGAATCTGGAGGATATTGAACTTTGACCAGAAGTGTATCAATCAGTGAATGATAGAGTGGGTTGAATAGAGCTAGAAAGGCTGGAATTTTTTCTTGTTCACTGCCAATAATATCATCTTGAAAAGTGTACCAGAAATTGAATGCTTGTTCACTGCAAGTTTCATCGATTGGATAATAGCCCGCAGTAGCTGAACATTGTAAGATAATTCTTAGCAGTTTTAGGATATTTTCTCGACATTGTTCACGGTCAATGATGGTATTCAAGAGGAGACGGGAATGGGTCTCACCAATGCTGATGTAAAGGTTGTACAGAGTTCCTGAAAGGAACATGTTTTGATCTTTAATACTTGAATTAAGAAGATCTTCAAATCGTATTATCTTGTCAATCAGCTTGAGAACCGTATTGGGGTACCGATGCATTTCAGGATGAGAATAAATGTTGGTTATAGCTTCAACACAGCAAACTGACAGCTCTTCATTGCTAATTTCATTGAGTATAAGGTTAAGAATGGTATCATGAAGATCACTTAAGATGAGGGAACCAAAATTTTGGGACCAATTGGAGAAACATTTTATTGCCATGTGTTTAACATCAGCGCCCAGACTTACTTGTTCCATGACCGTTTTAATCACACTGAATACATGATCAATTGATTGGATAAATAATTGACGAATAATGGGTTTTTCAGTATATGACATGTTAGTTGAGTTGAACTCTTCAGGTATCACTGTGAGTATCTCTACAAGGGTATTAATGACTTTAGAAACCGGTATATGAGACAACTTTCCGGGATGCAAATTTTCAATGAGATCGCAGACCGCCGTAGGCCAGCAATTGTTGATAGTTCGAATGACATAGGATGAAAGGGCGACGCATAATTTAGTTTGCACAATACGTAGGTTACCATCCATCATATATTTGCAAAGAGTATCCAATAATTTAGTTCGAAGTGCAATTTTAATTTCCTCATTGTTATCCAATTCTTGCCAGCATTTGGCTATTTTATGATGTACACAAGAGGCACCAAAATGTTGAACCTCAACAGGTTTATTGGGTAAAAGAAGTAACCAACAGAAATCCCATGATTCCTTTGAGTTTTGGAACAAAGTCAACTGTTTGTTGGCGAATACATTCCTCTCCCCACAATAATAAAGCTCATAGATGAGCATTTCAATGTTCTCTACAGTTGGTTCGATAACCGGGCATTGCTGTTGCCCGGTAGGCTGTTGGTCAAACATCAGGTTAGAATACACTGCAAAAACAAATTTAACTGTATGATGATGATAACAATGGCGATGATGTTGATGTTGAGAAAGAAAAATAGAAGACTAATGTTGGAGGTAATGATGATAAAGATGAAGAAAAAGTGAGATGATGTTACCCGGTATGCTGGTGAAACACAAATAAGAGATAGATAGAGAGAAAGAGAGAGAAAAAAGAGAAACCTAATTGAAAACTAAAAACAACCAATTTACACAGATAATTTGAAGAAAAATTAGTCAACACAGGTAGAAAAAAATAATTGTTGACTGCATTCGCATAAATTACAGTTTACACACTTAATAAATAAATAATCAATCAAATTCTGAATAAAATTACAATTTTGCTATCTATTAAAGACACAACAAACTCTAATGCTACCCGATTTAGCTTTCAGCAGAGGGAGCATATTATAATCTACTTTTGCAGAGATGATCAAACATGAAAGAGTGAAAAAAGACAAGATGAAGTAGAAATGAGAGGAGAAAGAGAGAGAGAAAGAGGAAGATAAAAGATGACGGGTAAGTTGTCAGAGTCTAATTTTTGGGCCCAGGGACTAAACTCTATGCCCAGTACACCCTAAGAAGCCTCAAGGCCCACTTAATAACAAGAGTAACGGCCTAAAAGAGGGAGATAAAGAGAGGAGAGTTTAAAGGGGAAAGAATGATTGCATCTTTTCTTCATTTTTATTCCTCTTTTTCATTTCTCAAACTGTGACATCGTTTATTCGCCTCCTCCTCCTCATCTTCATCATCTTCATCTCTATCTTCATCTTCAACATCATCTTTTACATCTTCAGCTCAACGGCTTTTTGGTAACTTACAGGATATACTAACTGATACTGATATTTGCTGCCTAGAGAAGCCAATTCTTTACAGTTTTTTTTCTTTCTCTCTCTGTGTGATGATGATCGATTTTAAATGATTCAGTAAGAGATTAGTGAAGTTAACGATAAAATATAAATAATACTTTGAAAATGCAAAAGTATAAATACTGAGCTTATCCAAAGCCAGTTTTTTATTGTTATTTTCCTGTTTTTATTTCAATTGTATGTAAGATGCAACAGAAAAATGAATTATTGAATTTTTAACACAGAATAACATTCGACTTTATGTCTTTTAAATGTTGTCATCTTATTGTTATTAAGATTATTATTATCATTATTACTATTGTTGGAGTTGTTGTTGTTGTTGATGATGTCAATTTTACGGTCTTAAAAACGAAAGGTAAAATTTTAAAAAAACTGGGCAAAAATTATTCAATGTAAATCTTTTGTATTTGTGTTTGTATTTGTATTTTGTTTGCTTGAAAAATTGAGAGAGAGAAAAGAGAAAAAGTAAATCGGAAAGTAAATAAACAATCAAAGCATAGAAAAAAATGTAAAATCTTAAAGATTGTCATGAATTATTTACAAATTTTCATGAATAAAGGGATAAAATTGACAAAAAATAGGAGGTTCAACGTTTGGAAATGTCATTTTGTTTTCATAAAAGGTAAAAGGTTAAAAAGGATCAATAAAAGTTGATACAATTTTTCAAGATTAGATACAACAGATACAGATATTGTAAGCATCTTAGGTTCGGATATCTAATGCTAATCCATTTGGCTTATTTGTAATGCTAATAGAAAGTATAATAATTATGTTTTCATTGTGTTAATATTATACATGGTGATGACCAGAAAAGAATGAATCAAAATCTTTTACCCAAAGATGGTTAAAGCCATGATATGGTGAGGAAGAGAAAAAAAATGTAAGTTTATCTTCTTAAATATAAAATCATGATTAATCTAAAGTTGCCTTGTTGATCAGGTTTGTTTGTTTGTTTTGTGCCTTAGACAACCTTTTCTTTCACCAACACCACCATCATCATTTCTTCATCATCATCTTTTTTTTTCCTTCATCTTCTAGTTCTTGACTGCCACCCATGACTCCCAATGATTACTCGTGGTTCTCCCAAATGACCAGTGATAATGAGCCTTTTTAAAACGTTTGGGCGGTGAATATATTTTGGTAACTTGCTACAGGCCACTAAACGGGTGCAACATTTTTACCTCACAAGCCATAGACCCTTGTCTTATATAGACACATGTTAAAGATCTGGTTTGCAGTCATCTTTTTTTTACCTTGCTGATGCCTTGTTTCTGTAGTTACAAGAGTAAGTTTGGGTTGGTTAAATGAAGCTTTTTTGGTTTATTTGTTGATTCTGCTTCTGCCGTTGATCATCGTCTAATGATCCCGTAATTACCTTGATTAGACCTAATGATAGGTGAGGAGGAGCCATTTAACTTGATGGAGGATAATGGTCATAGAGAGAAGGAGAAAAGCAAAAAAGGAATTGAAAGAGAGCAAAAAATGGTTAATGGTTAATGTTGTTTAAAGTCTGTTGAGTATAAAATAGATTCCTTGTTAGACAGTTTCTTGTTTTATTTCATTTCATCTTTTTCTTCGGCTCTTTCATTATTATTAACATCATCATCATCATTATGAATATTATTATTATCATTATTACATTCTATATCAATATTATTAACATTGCTATTAAGATAATAATATGTTGAATTGTTTGAATAGTTTAGCCTTTTCTCCATTTTTACCTCTCTTCCGATTAGATTTGCCTATTTCGTTTTTCGCTCATCTTGCTCTTTCATTGAGTTTCATTTAAATCACTCTTCGACTTGCAATTTTACTCGAGAAAAACATTTTCATTTAGTAATAATAGCTTCAGCTGAATAGGTTATAATGAAATGTATCTTTTGTGTTGGAAGCGTCGATAAAATTTTCAATTGTTGAACTTGAATTGAAATAAACTAGTCAACAGTATTTTTTGTTTTGTTTTCATACTTGTCCAGCCATTGAACTGTGTTTTTCAGTTTATACCAAAATAAAATAAGAGTTGAAAAGATTCTTTGATTGATGATTAAATGTTTATTTTTGATTCCTTCAAATGTTGAGAGATACTGGAGCTTTACTGTTGTTAAGTTAACAAAGTTAACAATAAAGCATCAAATGAAACATCACAAGGCTTTGCTACAGTTGATTCAAACAGTCTTTGAACAGATAAAAAAACTTCTTCCTTTCAAGTCATTATGTTTACTTGCTGATAAATATTCAATATTCTAGGAATTGTAAACAGATGAAAGCTGAATAATTATTTTTAGCGCCCAGAGATCATCCTTTTTGAAGCGATTCATGTATTATGAAAAATGGATACTTCAAAGATTATCATAACAATAATAAAGATGTCATGAAAAACATAGTTGAAATTTAAATCAGCTTGACTAAACATGAAATTGAAATGATTAATGATACATTGATTACGGCGGTTGGAAAAATTGCCGGAGTTAAAGCGAAGCTGTTTAGACTTTACTATGGCAACGAAGAGTTTTTTTTGAGTTTTATTGTTATTCTCGCCATCTAGTGTTTTCTTTATAAACAATATTTCTATTTTCAAAATCCATTTCTTCTATGGATTTGGATTGTGTTATTGTATGAAAAAGTGTCAAAATAAGCTAATAGATTTGATATTGTGTACTTCAATTGGTGAACTTATTTGTATAGTTGTTTAAACGGTGTTTGTAAATGTTTTTACTTTCAATTGCAGTTTTGACAGGCTCAAGAAACTGATTTTGCAAAATGTATAAACAAGACAATATGAGGATGCCTCCTCCCCATGGCCCACCTTTTCCTCCATCGCCTCAAAGACAACCACCGACACAATTTCGACAAGGTCCACCACAACCACCTCCAGATCATGTAATGATGCCTCCACCACCTCATGGTCATCCTAGAATGCAATTACAACCACCACAGTCTCATGGATCACCACAAAGACCTATGATGCCTCCTAATCAATCTGTTCCTGTTGCTGCTGGTGGTGTAGTTGTCCCTGGTTCTGTTGTTGGTCCTGGTGGACCACCTCCAGTTGGATCAGTTGCCATGAAGCGTCCTATTATGTCTACAATGATGTCTTCACCGGTATCTAATCAAGTAACAACAGCATTAAAAAAGAAAAAGAAACTTGGTGATGTTAATTTACAATCAAAGGTTAGAGATTTAGTTCCAGAATCTCAAGCTTATATGGATTTAATATCTTTTGAGAAGAAACTTGATTTTCATTTGAAAAGAAAAAGATTGGAAATAATTGAATCATCTAAAAAACCAATGAAACTTAAACGAAAATTACGAATATTTATTTCAAATACATTTTTTCCTGCTAAACACGAGATTGATGGTAATGAAGATTTACATGTACCTTCATGGGAATTAAGAGTTGAAGGAAGATTATTGGAAGATCAAAATACTCCAAAACCAGACCAAAATAAGATAAAAAGAAAATTTTCATCATTTTTCAAAAGTTTGGTCATTGAATTGGATAAAGATTTATATGGTCCAGATAATCATTTAGTTGAATGGCATAGAACACCTACAACAACTGAAACAGATGGTTTTCAAGTAAAAAGACCTGGTAATAAGAATGTTCGATGTACCATATTATTACTTCTTGATTATCAACCCTTACAATTTAGATTGGATCCAAGGTTAGCACGATTATTGGGTATACATACACAAACTCGACCAGTTATAATTAATGCTCTTTGGCAGTATATTAAAACACATAAATTACAAGATGCACATGAAAGAGAATTTATTAATTGTGACAAATATCTTGAGCAAATATTTCAATGTCCAAGAATGAAATTTGCTGAAATACCATCAAGATTACATCCACTTCTTCATCCACCAGATCCAATTGTTATTAATCATTTGATTAGTGTTGAAGGTCCTGAAACAAAGAAAACATCATGTTATGATATCGATGTTGAAGTTGATGATCCTTTAAAAGTTCAAATGAATAATTTTATTGTTTCAACACATAATCAACAAGATATATTAACTTTGGATAACAAAATACATGAAACAGTTGAAACTATCAATCAATTGAAAACAAATAGAGAATTTTTCTTATCATTTGCTAAAGATCCACAACAATTTATTCATAAATGGCTACTTTCACAAATGCGTGATCTCAAGGTAATTATTTATTTTTTTTACAATAGGTACTTAATAATTTTCAGGAATTTACTTTTTCTCTTTCTCTCTCTCTCTTTCTCTCTTTTAATAGACAATGACCGATCAAGCTGGTAATCCTGAAGAAGAACGACATTCAGACTTTTTCTTTCAACCTTGGACTCAAGAAGCTGTTTGTCGTTACTTTTATGGTAAAGTTCAACTTAGGCGAGCTGAACTTGAACAAGCTTTGGGTATAAGAAATGCTTAATATTATAATAACCAAGTCATATTCATTACAAAAATTGTTTTTTTTAATTTATAACATTGGATAAATTAGTGTTTACATACATATTCATTAACAAAATAAATTCAATTGCATTTCGCAAGTCTTAAATATCATCCATGTCGTCCATATCATCCATATTCTTCGCTTTTTTAGATTTATTCAATTCTTCAACAAGATGAGATTTCTTCAACTTAGTCGGTTCTTTGTCAATATAGTATTTCATTTTACGTGAGGCTTCCTCTAAACTTTCATGATGTTCATTATCATCACTTTCTTTCGCAGCCCATTCCAAAACTAATCTTCTTCCAAGTAAATGAGTACTTAAACTCAAAGCATCGAAAGCTCTTGCAGCATCCTCTTTGTTAATAAACTCAACAAAACCAAATCCTCGATGGTTTCCTGTACCAGCAAGTTTCTTTGGAAGACGCACAAATTTCAACTGTCCAAAAGCCTCAAATAATTGTTCAATATCTTTATCTACAGCTTCAAATGGAATATTTCTCACTAATATTTTAGCTCCATTTTGCGTTTGGATCATTGTTTTCTTTTCTTTTTCGGCTTTGATTACTTCAGATTTATCTTTTTGAACTCGAGATAATTGTAGCGTCAAGGTAAAATTATCTAAAACAGAGTTTTGTAAAGATTTCATTGCTTTTTGTGCAGCTTTCCTTTGATAAAACTGTACGAAACCAAATCCCATAGATTTTAACGAACCATCCGCTGCCTTTTTCCTTGAAATTGTAACTTTGTGGATTTTACCGCACTTCATAAAATGTTCTTTCAGATTTTCTTCGTCGGTAGAGAAATTCAGACCTTTAACTAAAATAGTTGTCTCTTCTTCACATGGTTCGTCTAATGGTTTAGATATTTCACTTTGTTTTTCTGTATGGTTAGTTTTCTCTGGTAAATCTTTCGTTTCGTGCTGATCTTTTTCAGAGTTATCAGGATCAGTTGAACCAAATACGTCCATTGGAGCCCATTCAAGGTATAAGGGAACTAAATGGAAATTAGAATAAGCTAATCTACTAAACATGGTTCTTGCTTCAACAGGATTATCAGCTTCAACTAACGCTGTTACAGCAAATGGCGGTAAAATGATCCTTTTGACTGTTCCAAATTGTTCAACAAGTTTCTTTAGTTCATCTATATCAGTTTTGGCAGGCAGATTCTTTATCAAGAATACTGTTTTGCTACGAGGACTTCTGGAATTATGGAAAGCATTGAGTTTAACTCCATTTTCGCTAAGATATTTCGCTGTTTCAGTGACAATTTGAGTTTCTGCTAAGGCCATACGAACAGGTATCGACTCAGAAGGTTTTCCTTCCATCAATAATTGACTTTTCTTGACATCATAGCGTTCACTTATTAAATCAGAAATAGCATTGAAATTAAGAAACAGTGAGTTCCAATTGAATCCTTTGGATGCGTTCGTCTTATTCTCAAGTTCTTTTCCTTTTTTAAATGAACTTTTACTCTCCAAATGAACTCCTTCTCCACCAGTTTTCATTTCTCCAGGTATTAAATGGAGAGTTCGACCCTGAAATATTGTTCCATCAAGTTCATTAAATGCTTTGATAGCATGTTCAGGAAATACAAAAGCCACAAAACCAAATCCCTTGATTTTTTTAGTCTCTGAATCGATAGGTAAATGAACTTCGGCAATCGGTCCATACTTATTAAATAATTTTTCAAGATCTTCTTCTTTACACTGATAGTATAAATTTCGAACAAATATTCTACCAGTTTCCACTAGAACGTCTTCAGAGACTTGCTTTTCGACACGACCTTTAGGATTACTAGGCTTTTCGGGCTCATCATCTTTAACTTCGTATTTTAGAACAGTTACTAAGTGACCGCTATAAACGCTCCGATTTTTACCTAAAGCTTTTATAACCTCTTCTTCTGTTTTAAATGAAGCATAAGCAATTCCTTTCTGCTTGGGTGCAACTCGAATGCTAATTGGTTTGAGAGGATTGAGGAATTCTTTGATAAACCTCTTTTTACATTTATCGATCGGAAATCTTTTCAATTTGATTGTGTTCTTGAAAGTTCCCTTGACAGACGGTTTATTTGGCTTGATTTCTTTCTGCTTTTTCTCCTTCTTAGGCTTTTTCTTGTCCGAATCCTCATTGGTATTCTTCACGTCATCATTTTCCCAAATTTTTTTCTTAGATGAGCCAATGTTCCGCTGAGTCTGAACAAATTCTACAAATTCTGGATCCTTTTCAAGTTGTTTGTATTCTGATAGAATGGAGTCTTTAACATCGTTTTCATCTTCTTCTTTTTCAGTACTTTCAACAGCTTTAACTTGTTTCTGTTTTTGTTTATTTTTATCCTTCTTTGCACTTCCAGCAGACTTGGAATCAGATTGATGATCATATAATTTTCGACAAAATTCAACAGAAATTTTACATCTTCCAATACAAGTGTTATCCATAGCTTCTTTAGCACGTGCAGCTGCATCCTCAGTTTTATAACCAACAAAAGCAAAGTTTCTAAATTTTCCATTCTTTTTGAATTTCAATTGTAAATCAGTAATCTCTGCTTCTGTAGAGAAAAGTTTGCTGAGTTTATCTCCAGTTATCTGTCCATAAAGAAAATGTTAGATGGTATAAAAATAATGATAAAATAAATGTTAAATTAAATAAAAGCATGACAAAAGAACACTTACAGAATTGGGTAAGTTTTTCACAACAAGTCGAGATGTTGGACAATCAGATGGAGGTTCTGTTTCTGTCATAGTTATTTTAAGACGTTAAAATGCAAGCGAATAAGTGAAAATATGATGAACAATTAGTAAAAATCAAAGTAAATTAAACATAAACATTGACATGTTGCATTGCTTAAACCATGTGATGTTGTTACTAAGCAATCGTTGACAAGGATTTAACTCATAGTCTCGTTTTTGCCTGCTAGATGGCATATTGCATTCAATACTAAAAACTTAATTGTAGTTGATTGTGTTTAACACACAGAATCTAATTAGTATTATTGATTGACCTGTGATTGGTCATGACTATCCTCAGTTATCCATCCATTATGAATAATTTATTAAGCTCAACTCAGTGATATACACTTACAAACTTCGTAGAGCTGACTGTATGCTCTTGTGCATTTGTTTACTACAAAGAAGCTATTCTTGATTTGTTCAATTCAACTGCACAATTAGTAAAATAAAAGTGTAAAAATTTAAGTAGATTACTGATGGAAATGATTAGTAAATCAAAAACATTTTTATGGAGCAAACGTTTTGTCATTTAGATTTGATTATTCTAAATGTGAGATACAAAGAAAGTGAAAACTCTGTCAACCTTAACTTGATCTGAATAGTTTAATGAAATCATTGACCTCTAATTAAACAATTTAAAGTAGCAAAGTTATCCATGATTATAAGATACGAAAATTTGAATTGAAAAGCACAAAATTATAACAATCAGAGGAAATAATGAATTAATGGTGATGGTGCAGTTTCAGTGAAGCGAACCCTTAAATGAGCAATTGCCGTGATCTAAATGAAATGAATTCAGATTTGATTTTCATGTCAATTGAATGTTTATATTGAAAGCTTATATTGAACTGAATGCATATTGCCATTGTATGTCAGTCAATCACTAGATTTTGTTCAATTTAATAATTCGGGTTTCACCAGATTCCTTCAATTCCTTCAATACTTCAAATTGATTTTAACTTTGATTTCTCAAATACAAATGATCTCAATGAGCTTTGATCGAGTCTTATCCAACTGAAGTCAAATCTTAAATCTAATCTGGTTAAATTCTGGTTTATAAGTTCTCTATCTAAATTGACTTTAAACTCTCACAATTAGATAATGTTAAACTAGAGTTTGTGGCACCAAAAAACAAACATCTCGCAATAACTGCAGGGTATTGACAGGCATAACTTTACTCTTGAATGAATTTGTTGATTATTCCGATTCTTGTTATATTGAGAAGGTTGACTGCAGTTTATGGAAACGGTTCAGATTATTGACACTACTCATATCCTTTTGGTAACACTGTAAATTGTTTAAAACATTAGTTGATTTTCAGGAATAACATTGAAACAAATAACCATTATTTAGATTTCAATTAGTATTTTTCCTAAATAATTCAAAATATTGAAAGCAGAAACCAGCATGAAAATGATTGAAAACAGCACTTGTACTTGAAATTAAAATAAGTATGGCTATATTGAAGTTCACGAAGATAAAAGAAACGTCTTTAATCATTTGAATTAATCAAAATCAGAAGCTAAATCAAGATAAACTATTTATGGTTCAGTATAGATAATCGGCAATAGATTTATTTCCTTGAAATTATCAGGTGAAGTTAACCAAGCATCCAACAGTTAGTCAACACCCTGGAATCAGTTCAATTATGAAACATCATAACGATAATATACTCATTTTATTGGCTTGATTGATCAATTCTTCATGTTAATCAATTGCTACTCGAATCCTTTGAATCACAAATCTTTCTTTTACTTATTTTTACCTGAAAAGACAAGATCTTGACCAAAATATGAATTAGCTTTAGTTATTCAAATGAGCTTTTATATGTAATACGCTTGTCCATCAAAATATTATTATGATTATTGTTATCCAAGTATATCTTCACTAGAAAGAGGTAAAACTGAATGTTCTCATATTATGTTACCTAATATAATAATGTAACATTAGCAATGAAGTCTAACTATCTGATAACCGCAAAATGGTCAAGATTATATCTCATGTAATAGCTGATTTGAACATTAACTTAGCTGTTAAATGATTTTCATGGTTAACTGAAGGCAACTTCAAGTCAAATAATGCAGTAGTCAAGTGTAAAGTGATGGTAAAAACAGATAGGACTAACATAATGAAAAAAGTGAATAATTCCTTAATTGACATGCAACAAGTCAACATTTAACCTGTTAAGCTGAGGTAAAGAGAGGAATGTTGATTTGGATAGGGAAAATAACCGTTAAATGCAAACAATTGAATCAAAATTAGAGACAGGTGATATGAACTAATAAGATTGTTAAAGTCAATTCACATTGAAACAAAAAACGTTAACATGAAAAAATTTTAAAGCTTAAAGTTGCTTGTTAGTTTTTTAGCAAAAATGATCCAGAAATAAGAATTTTTTGCATTGATTAACGATGTTGAGCATATGACAAATTGACAATGAATCCATTAACAATTCTGTTCTCAATGGATTCTAATATCAATATTAAACAAAAGCTGAAATTGTATTGATAATGAATTTGAAGTAATTATTAAATTGTGTTTTTCCAATCTGTAGAGCCAGTCATAACCATATTGATTTAATTGAGTTTAATGTTCATGTGAATGGAAACAAGTTCACCTTGATTGTTAACTGTATCTGACCTCTGCCAATGTTTATTGCCATGAATATTTGAAATGATGATATCTGGAAGAAGAAAAATAAAGTTAAATAAAATAACCAAGAGAATGATTTAACTAGTAAAGTTAATTTGAAAATAGATTTCAATCATTAATCAAAATATACTGAAATTATAAAATATTTTCAAGATACTTTTCACCTTTAAGCGAAAAAGCAGAAGTAAAAATAGTGGAAAGACCAATTATTAGATGACCAAAAAGTCTATTCATTTCACTTTTGAATGGGGCTAACCCAAGATATTGGTCAAATTGATGGTTGAATAAATGGGGAAACTTGATTTCCAGTTCAAACTAGGAATTCACTGATTACTTGCATTGACTGTGGTCTGTTTTCATGTTAAACTAACCTAAATTTCGGCTTCAACTGGATTGAGCTACAAAATTCAGCCTTGAATCTCTAGATGAGTTTCCCTTCACAAATTTACTGAGCAAAATGACAAGAACCGATGCAACATCACTAAACACCAAAGCCTATTAAACTGTTTCAAATGGTTGACTTTGAAATTTGAAAAAAACTGGTCGTAATTATCAATTGATTTTTTAAACTCCGAATAACCTGAGCTAAGAATTGAAACCTGCAATTAAAAAATAGATACTTAAGAGTCAGATTTGAGCATAAATACACCAAAGCATTTCGAAGTAAAAAGCTATTGTTTAAGATCGGCTTCTCAATAAATTTAAACAGCTAATTTGCTAGTAAAGGGAATGACCAGTTCCATGTAAAAATTGTCCAAGTTAATGATTGACAATCTATTTGGATTATTAAAGATTTTGAACAGTCTAATTGAAAGCTAAACAAGTTAATTTAAATTTCAAATTGACTAATAATTGTACAATTGCAGTCGACCTTTAAGATGAGAACCAGGTAAGCAACAATTGATAAAGACAGTCAAGATATTGAAGTTGGTTAAGAATGAAAATGAAATGCTAACTAATAGGTTAACTTGATTAACAAATGGTAAATAATAAAATTAATAGCAAAAGTAAAATTCATTGATTCAAGGATCATTCACATTTAAACACTTTTGTCTGAAAAAAATACACTCACACTAATAATGACACTTTTTCCGTTTTCAAAGATTTCAACTTTCAAATTTTGTTGAATTACTTTTCGCAATTTGTATACTTTGCCTTTTATCGATATCGCTTTTTTCCCGTTTAATTATTTCACTCTTTTGATTACTTTTGTGACCCTCTTTTAAACTTTGTACCTGAAATGTTTAAGAAAGGATAAAAAGGTAAAGATTAGTGTTTAATTCGTGTCGAGTGAGTAGCTTTTTTTACAATTTCACTGCGATTATTATTAAAACTCAATTGACTACCTTTTTGATTCTTGCAGTTTACGGTCCAGTTGAACATTACAGTTGTTTAGTCTTTCAAGTTACCAATAATTTAATGACCTTTGACATGTTTCCTCTCATTTGCAGCTTTTCAATATTTTTTCATCATGCCATTCCTTGTGAACAGCTTATTAATATTTAAACTAACTTGCGCGAGGAGAAACTATTCCGCTCAGTTGAGATTCAAAGTAAACATTTTCAAAAGCTTGATAATCATTTGCCGTCATCAGATGAACTTGAAATCATGGAAAAGTTGGTGTGAACTGTTGGAAAATATTCTGGACATTCATCATTCAATGATATGAGCAACAGGTACAAGGCCTTTCCTAGGTCCAAAGAAGTGAAAATGAAGCCAAGCTAAAAGTCAAAATAAAAAAGATTATTATTAGTATTGAATCATAAGTGATGCATTAAAGTGAATTGAGACAAAATTATTAAAGTATCAAGATATTTGAAACATTTGTCATGTTTATGCGTGATTCTGCAGAAATCAGCTGATTACATACCTTCAGACGACGAAACATTGAAGTTGTTTAATGGTGTTAACGAGTCCATGTGAACTCAAATGATGGAAAGATTCTGGCCTTGGCTATTTAATTTATCCTACTGGCCATTTTACTATAAATACATTACTTCACAAACAGGAACAAGTTTGAGGTTTGCTGATAAGATGCATAAATATCATCCTCTTGATGGACAATTGAACATGCGGTAACGATTTAACTTGCAGGCACTTCCATCTAATCGAGGTAAAACGAAGAAAGAGAAATCATTAACATTGAGTTTCTAAACTTGAGTTTTGCAGGAATTATCTGAATACTTGAAAACATAGTTTCTTCAAATAATAATCTATTAATAATCTCATAAGATATAAAAGAAACAAAAGAAAAGTGAAACTTACCATGTTTTCCAGATGAAAAGGCAAGTCATGAGTTGAATGGACATTGTTTAGTCAAAGGCCAGAGGTAAAATTGGTCAGTAAAGTCGTTGTATTTCATTCAATTGGCTGGATAAGGAAATTGTGAATGTTTAGTTTCGCCATTTCCTAAACTTCGCATGCAGTTGATGTGAAAATTTCATCTTGTTAAGATCGATGAAGGTCTTTCATGGAAATGATGACTGTCAAGATTACCAAGGTGTGAAGCAATATAGACGTAAAATGATTTGAAATGATAAGCGCTAATAGTAATTTAGGATGAGGTAATTTCCTTGAGAAAGTAAATAGGAAACCAACCCAGATGACTTTAAAATTCAATTTTAGTTGAAAATATAGACAGTTACGGTTATAGCCAAATGTATATAAATGCCAACGTCAATCAGATGCACCAAGTATCCTAGAAAATAACAGAAGAAAACAAATGAATAACATTTTCCGGTCATTTGATATCAACAATGCTAAAGCATGGTACGTACAGCTGATATTTCTTAATTTCTTACGTGTTGAAATATAACATTGAATGCCATTATGAAAGTGATCAACCGATAAACTTGAAATAATTGACAACCGTTGACAATTGACCTGTCTCACTTGGTTTGAGAAAAAAAATAAAAGAAAATGAGTGAAAGTAAATTCATCACAAATTGATTGTATTTTTGTAGAGTTTATGATATAGGCATGAAAATACTTACAATTAATGATACAGATGATGAAGCAAATATGGCAAAAATGTTGGCTGTTTTGTGTAAAATTGTGAATAATTAATAATTGAAACAATTAAGAACACAGTTGCCCAAAAGAACAGGTTTACCGACTTGAAGCATATGAGTGATATTAGGTTCACTGGTTTAGGTGATATTGGCATTATTAAGGTTGTGACAATCAGTGATTTATTGAAGCAATGAAAGACAGAAAGGTTGATAGTTAATTGGATAAAGATGTAAAATCCCGATATTCTTAGTTGATTAACAATCAAATTGAAGGTGAACAAAACAAAATAATGTTGCTTGAAATTATCAACACATGGTTGAAGAGAGTCGTCAGTCTTGCAATAACATCTCCTTTATTTTTCTTTACATTGATTTTACTTAGGAGATTGGCTGGTTATCTTCATATTTACTCTTCATTTTAATGAAAACACCTTCGGCTATCTATCTATTGTTCATTTCAAAATAATAACCTCGAGTATTTTCATACAGATCGAGTGTCAACTCAAATGTAGATGTAAAACGTACATAATTTAGCCGATCGGAGCATTGAGAAACCGGAACGAAGCTTAAAAGATCGACGACACTAAAACATGTCGAAGATTACAATTGTTAGAGCCGAATCTAACCGCTTATTTAAAAATGGATGTCAGCAATGAAAAGTCTTGAAAAGTGTCTGAATTTAACATGGAATATATTTCAATAGAAAATTTAATAGCCATACAAATACATTAAAAAAAGTCCCATAATTTATCCACACAGGTTATGATTCACAAAACATTTTCAGTCTCAAAACATTTGGTAAAGAAGCTTTTTAACCTGATTTCATTCAGCCATAACATTAACATTATTATTTGAAAAGCACATCCAGAAAAAGCACCCCAAATCATTCCCAGAATAGTAAAAGTTTCAGTCAAAATAATATGAGTTCCATGAGAAAATAAGAGAACGAAATCAAGGCAAGCAAACGAATCAACCAAGAATGAAGTTGAAAAGTCAACAACAGTAACAGCTGTAACAGCTTTCATAGCTCACAAGTTTTTAATGCATTTACATGTTTATATTGTGATCTTGTTTGTTTTCATATATTTAGTGCCATTTCTCATCATTTTTAGTTAATTTCAATTGTTAAATACACCAATATTTAGTAAAACTCATTTATCAACTTTATCACCAACACGATATTGGAACAATCTGCAATCACATTTTTTCTGTACTAGGCTGATGTAAACATTGTCTCATCTTTAGACTGGTTTCTTAAGATATTTGGTTGATTAGCCTTCAAGTTTGTTAAAGGTAAAGGGTGTATGTCTAAAACCAGGCAGAGAGCTAAACAGTGACTGAATATTATTGGTCATCGATTTTAACAAAATATATTAAAAATTGCCATCATCAACACCATCTCTTGATTGAAAAATTGTTACCTTATTAGTTGAGCCACTAAAACATTTGATTTTAAAGAAATTTTTATGCACATTGAGCATATGATTTGAATCAAGTTTAATTCAATCAAGAGATGGTGTTGATGATGGCTATTTTTAATCTATTTTGTTATTATCGATGACCAATAATATTCATTCACTGTTTAGCTCTCTGCCTGGTTTTAGACATACACCCTTTAATTTAATTTATTATTAATATTTTAGGTTGATTCGATGACAGCAACAATCAGTTTCCACAACAGTCAAAAACTGGTTCCTCCAAAAATTGCAAGAGATCTAACATTGAAAAACTTACAGCTGATTGTTATAAATAATTTCTAGCTAACATTGAATCAAAATCTGAATACTCTGGTTTTTATATCACCCAACCAATGTTAAAGCTAACACACTGTATATTGTGATATGAACTTTCCAATTGAATACCAAAGTTGACAATTCAACTTTACATAATCAACTCAACAATATCTCAAATACACTATAAAGTAAAGAATGAAATAAAATCAGTTTCATTACGAACCGAAAGCTTTTCAAGGTACATTAAATGATTGATGGCAGAGCGGGAAAAAAATGTTACTATGAACTTGAATTAAAGTTCACTTTCAACTTGACCTTTACAAGCTGCTTCAGTCTCCTTACCCGATCAATTTTATGCAGTTAAATAGTGAAAATTTATTAGACTAATCATGCAATTTAGTCGTAATTAGATTAGGATTTAGGAATAAAGGAGCGAGAGAAGCAAAAAAACTGGTTAATTGGGTAAAGATGAGCTTAGGTTAAATGGGTTTACATAAGAAGAGACTTGAAATCTCAATTGATTACTTCCTTCGGTTGGACAATATTAATCCTGTTGGTGCTGTTAACGTTGATACCTGATATTCTGGTGATAATTATGATAATAACAGTCAACAATTATTCAAAGTAAAGGTAATTTTTGCTATTTTTCATCTTACCAACAATAACTTAACTCTTGAGTGTGCTGACGATGGGTTGATTGAGTTAACAGCATAAGACCAGACAACAAGTTTATAAATTTTATTCAGTATCAGGAAAGATTATGCTGAAAAAAACTGAGAAACTTAAATTGACTTAACAACAGCTTTTACAACAAATGATTAAACACTTCAACATTTTCATAATTGCTTAGATTAACAAATGCTTTCCTTTAAAGCTTTAATAGGTTTTAATTGATTCCAACATGAATCCTGAAATTGACAATCAAATAAATTTACCTTTTAATTAACCTTGTTTTTTATTTTCACTTTCACCAGCCATTGAACCAAATTTGAATGTTTACTCGGACACTCATTACCAACCAATCATCAGGTAAAATTAACCTTTCATCTTGCTACTTTATTTGTATTCTGAAATAACATGCATTACATGTAATATATGGCTGAATGTGAATGAAAATTATTGTGCGACATGTTAATTATATATTAAGGTGTATTGAAATGAAAAGTCATTATTCAATATTCATTTATTTCCAATTGAATCCAGTCTCTCATCTTTGTCTCATTTTCCCCTTTTTTTAGGAAATAATAAACCAAATTGACTTTCAATGGTAATTAGGACTAAACATGTTATCAATGGACATTTGGATAAGTGGCCATGATTTCAGTGAAAATTGGCTTCATCAATAAACAAGCAAATGGCGAAGGGAGGAGATTTCAAGAGATTAAACCATGCAAAGAGATTCAGATTGGTAATTGATTGTCGAACCTGTCTCAAGAATCATTCGGTAGCCTGAACCGACATTGTTATGATTATTGGTTAAGATGAAAAGCAAGTTACAGTCGAAACCCACAACCAAGGATTGGTATTTTTCCGTTTCTGCGATACATTCAATTGACTTGTTAACATCATCATTATCTTCATCATCAAATATCCAAATGACTGAGGTCACTATCATATATTAATAATGATAATAAGACAAGCTTTTAGGTTGATTGGATAATAATGAATGTAAGGAATGAGCAAAAAGACAGAAAAGAAAAGAAAAGAAGAAAAAGGAAAAGTATAAAAGTTGAAAGTAAAAAGGCCAAGTTTAAGGAAAAATAAACTATGTTTATAAAGGATCATCAAGCATAAATTCAATTGACCCTTTAGTACATTTTAATTCATGTTACAATCAAGGTGAATTAGACAATCAGTCCAATTAATCTGTTGATTAAATAGAATCGTTTAAAGGTTGTAAGTTGAGGTGACATACAAAGATGAAACTGTTGAATCTATTGAAGCAAACACGAGTAAACAAACAACAGTAATATGCTGAATGTTTACAAGTTGAAACATGAAGCAAAAAGTGAACTGGTAAAGGTGATGATGATGGTAATGATGAAGACGGCTAAGGGCAGCAAAATACAAGTGAAAGCATTCGGATTCGCACTGATTGATGCACCATTTTTCGCTTCAATCAACTATTATTTACGCCTGGGACGTTACCTGTTAAGTTGCCGGAGAAGAGAAGAAAGAATGGAAAATAGAGAAAAGAAAGACTGATTGAGTCAAATTTTCCTCCATTTCTGGTCTTATTTTTAATGTTGTTGTTGTTTCTAATCTATTATATGATGGTTAATAATGAATAACCTAACGAACTTGTTTAGGTAATAATGTCCTTGTATAGTCTTTCTCTCCCTCTTCAATCGTTATAATCATAACACTATTTATCAATCTACTCACTTTTCCTCGTCTTCATTCTCCCTGCCTACCTTTCTCTCTCCTTTTCTCATCTTAAATCAACTTTCTCAGTCTTCATTTAATCTCAATACCTTTACATGTTGAAAACATTCTCACATTTTTCTCCTCTTTCCATTCAAATTGCTTCTCAGTTTATCAACACTCAACTTTTTTGATAGTTTACTTTCGTATTCATTATTCACTTATCTTCTGTTAAATACCAATCCTGATTTAATTTGATAATTATTTACTTCAATTCATTTCATTTGGATTCATCGGTTTTACTCGCTCTCTTTGTGTCTCCATTAGATTTGTAAATTTGTATTTCCCTCGGATCAACAGAGACTACTTGTTTCTCTTTGCAATCTTGTTTACATTTTCATCTGAGTTTATTGTGGTTTTTTGTGCAGTTTGGCTTGTAGTTTTTAATTCACCAGTATTTTAATTAATCCAGTGTTTAATTGTTTTCGTTAAATAATCACCCTTACACAAATCCAACTTAATTTAATCAATCTTTGAATTTAGCTGAAAAAGGAAATTTGTGATAAAAACTCGGCTGATATTCACGAAGGACCTCAAAGACGTAATAAAACTTGAATTTTTTACTGTTGAGTTTATTTTACGCTGAAAATCTGATATACGATAATAAGATGGCAAACAATGCTATTATTGACAATTTAACTTCGAGTGGAGCTTTGCAAGATTGGCCTCCTGGTCCTTTAGATTTATACCGTAAAAAGGCTACATTTTGCTGGAAAAGGATGAAATTAGCCATGGAAGGTGAAGATATCATTCGCTTCAAGCACAAAGTGTGGTCAACACTTGCTAAAGATCCACTCTTCAAGCGTCATCCTTGGGAAGAATTGTCAAGAGATGAAGAAAGAAGATTAACCTTAATGCGAATGAAGCGTCTCATCGAATATGATTTCATCACTGAGGAAGAATTCATTCGTAACCCAATGTTAGCACCAATTGCTGGTCAAACCATTGGACAGTATTCTCTTTCATTGTGTGTGAAGAAGTTCCTTGCTTATGAATATTTTATTGGAAATGCTCGAACTGCTGGTTCACAGCGACAAAACAAATTCATGGCTGATGTAAAAGCTTTCAAAGCATTAGGCGCAATTAGTTTAACTGAAATGGCTCATGGATCAAACACTAAAGCCATGAGGACAACTGCAACTTTTGATCCCAAAACCCAAGAATTTGTTTTACATACTCCTGATATGGAAGCAGTTAAAGTCTGGTCCGGTGTTTTAGGACAGACAGCGACTCATGCCGTTGTATTTGCTCAACTTTATACTCCCGATGGTACCTGTCATGGTCTTCATTCTTTTTTAGTTCCTGTTCGTGATCCAGCGACTCTTTTACCTTTCCCTGGTTTAACTATTGGAGACATGGGACCAAAAGTAGGACTCAATGGAATAGACAATGGATTTATGAAATTTGACAACTACCGTATTGGTAAAGATGCTTTAATGAACCGTAACGCTGATGTGACACCAGATGGTACCTATGTTAATACAGTTAAAAATAAATCTAAACGAGTTGGTGCCACTCTCGGTATTTTATCATTAGGAAGAGTTGCCATTATCCTTCAAGCATTCTCTAACCTGCAAACAGCAATTGTTATATCCGTCCGGTACTCAGCTGTTAGACGACAATTTGGACCTGCCGAGGGCTCTCAAGAATGGCCAGTATTAGAATATCAATCACAACAATGGCGATTGATACCTTACGTTGCTGCTGCCTATGTAATACAGCATTTTCATCACATCTTTTTTAAAGAATATATCAACTTTTTTATATCTTTGGCTTATGGAGGTTCGTCACCCGACCAACCTGATGTAGGATCTGAAATTCACTCTTTATCTTCAGTTGGTAAAGCTATGGTCGGTTGGATCGCTCGGGATGCTATTCAGGAGTCAAGAGAAGCCTGTGGGGGGCATGGTTATCTTAAAGCGTCTCGTTTCGGTGAACTCAGGAATGATAATGATGCAAATAATACTTATGAAGGTGATAATAACGTTCTTCTTCAGCAAACCTCCAATTGGTTGATTAAATTATATCGTGAAAAGTTGGAAGAAGGTAAACCAATGAAATCACCACTTGGATCAATCGATTATATAGATTCAATAGATAGCATATTATCAAGCACCATGAAACCCGACATAGCGAGCAATATTGAATCACTTATTCACTCTTACCAGTTTCTAGTCTGTTGGCTTTTAGTGAAATCATCTGAAAAGCTTACTCGCGAGTTGACCAAGTCTGGAGATGCTTTCATTGCTAAAAGTGCAACTCAAGTTTATTACTTGCGATCTTTGGCCATTGCCTACTTCGAATGTGATATTATTTCTCGGTTTCACAAATTCTATACTGAGGATCCCATAGAACCAGAATTAAAATCAATTTTGTCCAAATTAAATCTTCTCTTTGGTTTGTGGGTGTTTGAAAAGCATATATCAACACTTTATGAAGCCAACCATATACCAGCATCATTTAAAGAACCTGTAACAACAATTCACGAAAGCATTCTATCATTGTGTAGTAATTTGAAAGACGACAGTGTAAGCTTGGTCGACGCCTTGGCTCCTCCAGATTTCATATTAAATTCATCTCTTGGTTATTCTGATGGGCGAATTTATGATCATATTTGGGAAGCGCTGATTGAAAACAAAGATGCTCTTAAAAGGCCAGATTGGTATACAGAGTTTACTCAAAACAAACCAATCCCTCGCCAAGGTGTATCCAATGATGATCTTGTTCGGTCCAAATTGTGATCTAAACGCAAAATGTCTTATCAAGTGACAAAAAAAGATTTGGTTGTAAAATCAGCAATCAAAAATGATAGGATCTTCAAATATTTTCTGACTCAGAAAACTAAACAATTTAACGAACTTAAGGAAACAATCAGATAAACAGTTGGTTGTTCATTCAATATTCTTGAGATACATAATCCTTGGGAACACATTTTATAAGATTTAATTGTTAATTCTTTAATGTAACTCATACAATTTTCTGGTTTCCAAAATGTTGGTGCTTAAGAAATCTGTGAATTGTTCTTATATTTTCATTACTCCCGATATGTTTATCATTGGTGATAAATAACCTGTTGAAATATTTTTTACTTTTTTTAAATTGAATTTTTATATCAAATTGTCTCCAAGCCCTTTTATCATTTGGTTTATAAATGTACATTAATCTATTAATAAGACTATTGTTATTTTTCGTAATTTGATGCAGATAAGACTCTTTTAAACTTAAATTTTCTCAACTTTCCAATGCGCCTTGATTAAAAATGCCTTCAAAATTTTTTGATTATAATGTCAATTGAAATTCAAAAGACAGAAATTCATAAGTCTCATTGTTTAGAGCAATGAATTAGGTGAAACACAAATAATAATAAATTTTAATTTTATTTATGCACAAGTACAAAACATTGAAATCAAAATAAACACAGGAAAAGTTGCTTTACAGGTTAATCTATTTGATAAAGTATCTAATTGAATGGAATAAACTCAATTTTTAGGCATTTCTAATACCCAAAGCTTGTTCAAGTTCAGCTCGTCTAAGTTGAACTTTACCATAAAAGTAACGACAAACAGCTTCTTGAGTCCAAGGTTGAAAGAAAAAGTCTGAATGTCGTTCTTCTTCAGGATTACCAGCTTGATCGGTCATTGTCTATTAAAAGAGAGAGAGAGAGAAAGAGAAAAAAATTAAATTATAAAATCCTGAAAATTATCAAGTACCTATTGTAAAAAAATAAATAATTACCTTGAGATCACGCATTTGTGAAAGTAGCCATTTATGAATAAATTGTTGTGGATCTTTAGCAAATGATAAGAAAAATTCTCTATTTGTTTTCAATTGATTGATAGTTTCAACTGTTTCATGTATTTTGTTATCCAAAGTTAATATATCTTGTTGATTATGTGTTGAAACAATAAAATTATTCATTTGAACTTTTAAAGGATCATCAACTTCAACATCGATATCATAACATGATGTTTTCTTTGTTTCAGGACCTTCAACACTAATCAAATGATTAATAACAATTGGATCTGGTGGATGAAGAAGTGGATGTAATCTTGATGGTATTTCAGCAAATTTCATTCTTGGACATTGAAATATTTGCTCAAGATATTTGTCACAATTAATAAATTCTCTTTCATGTGCATCTTGTAATTTATGTGTTTTAATATACTGCCAAAGAGCATTAATTATAACTGGTCGAGTTTGTGTATGTATACCCAATAATCGTGCTAACCTTGGATCCAATCTAAATTGTAAGGGTTGATAATCAAGAAGTAATAATATGGTACATCGAACATTCTTATTACCAGGTCTTTTTACTTGAAAACCATCTGTTTCAGTTGTTGTAGGTGTTCTATGCCATTCAACTAAATGATTATCTGGACCATATAAATCTTTATCCAATTCAATGACCAAACTTTTGAAAAATGATGAAAATTTTCTTTTTATCTTATTTTGGTCTGGTTTTGGAGTATTTTGATCTTCCAATAATCTTCCTTCAACTCTTAATTCCCATGAAGGTACATGTAAATCTTCATTACCATCAATCTCATGTTTAGCAGGAAAAAATGTATTTGAAATAAATATTCGTAATTTTCGTTTAAGTTTCATTGGTTTTTTAGATGATTCAATTATTTCCAATCTTTTTCTTTTCAAATGAAAATCAAGTTTCTTCTCAAAAGATATTAAATCCATATAAGCTTGAGATTCTGGAACTAAATCTCTAACCTTTGATTGTAAATTAACATCACCAAGTTTCTTTTTCTTTTTTAATGCTGTTGTTACTTGATTAGATACCGGCGAAGACATCATTGTAGACATAATAGGACGCTTCATGGCAACTGATCCAACTGGAGGTGGTCCACCAGGACCAACAACAGAACCAGGGACAACTACACCACCAGTAGCAACAGGAACAGATTGATTAGGAGGCATCATAGGTCTTTGTGGTGATCCATGAGACTGTGGTGGTTGTAATTGCATTCTAGGATGACCATGAGGTGGTGGAGGCATCATTACATGATCTGGAGGTGGTTGTGGTGGACCTTGTCGAAATTGTGTCGGTGGTTGTCTTTGAGGCGATGGAGGAAAAGGTGGGCCATGGGGAGGAGGCATCCTCATATTGTCATACTTGTACATAATTATACAAATTTACGATCAATCGATTAGAGTAACCAATACTTTCTACACACAATAAAAACAGAGATTTACTCACTCAAAGCACTAAAATAAAAAGACATGCAAACAAATTCACACAAATATTAGATTTGAAAATCACTAGAATCAAATTATCATCTGAGTCACAATAAAAACTCTGATGCGCATTCGCGTTATCTCTATGCTCTTGCCGCGAAATTCAAAAAACTGGTTCCTACTCAACCCAAAGAGTAAAGTAAGACTTTACTCTCTGTACTTGACCAACATTTAAAACAATTTAATTTGCTTTGTGATTCCTGTCAACACAAACATAAAATAAAGACTGATTACAATAATAATTTAGATGGTAAATTTAAGAATCTCAGTTGTTCAATTTCTTGCTTATCAAAAGTTCCCATCATAATGAGTTTCCTTCATCAAGTAATATAATTTAAATCAAATCTCTGATACAATATGCAATGTTTAAAAATAAAAAAGCCGATTTGATCAGTAAATATTGAAGCTGAAAAGACAATTTAAATAATCGTTTAAGACGATTTGTTGATCTGATGAAGTTGACAAAAAGTTTGGAAGATTCGTTCCATAGTCTTGCGCTTTGAGTAAATATCGATTGATATCTTTTTGTCTCTCTATTTTGCTTTTAGTCTCTATTTTGTCTTCCTTTGCTCCAGTTGATTGTAAATGTTTACAACTTAAACACAGTGAATCAGTTCAGGATTCGAATCATCTTTAACGAAAACTGAACAAAAGAAAAACTCGAAAAAAACAAAAAGACCAAATCAATACAAGTCGACAATTAAGATCACTGCTAGTTCATAAGTTGTTATGGAGGAAAACCAAGTGCCATTGGTAAACATGAACGGATTATTGGTGACATGGATTAACTTCAACTATTTAAGATGTAATCATTATTGTAACAATAATGATCAAGTTATGGTGATAAAATTATTCTTTTAAATGGCCAAATTAGATTAAAAAAGTGAATATTTTTGAATTATTGAAGCCATCACATTCAAATAAAGATATCTCATGTTTTGAAAAGTCTCAAAGCTATAAAGTTTCAGCTCGTTCTTGTTTATGTTCAATTAAAGCAACCAATCAAGCTACAATGACAACCATTTTGGATGGGATAGTTGATGAGGTGAGTAATAACAATTCAGTTTCAGGGAACAATCAATTTCTAATTACAAGAAAATGTTTGAACAGTAAATTGTGATTAAACCCAAAAGTGAGCAAACATAATGGGAAACTTAAGAGGTTAGATTTTGTTCATTTGCAGCTTTACTCTTCTCATTGTGTCTGTAAATCCAATGATTAATGTTTCAATTGTCTATTATAATTAAAAATAGATTGAGTGATTTACTATGAGATTTGAGTTAATAATTTGTTAATAAGAGCAAAATAAATGAAACAAATTAAATGTTTAAGCTTGTAATTAACTCTAAATCTGAAAATGCCATCAACGATTACTTTTTGGGTCTTTACCTTCGCTTTTGTTTCTATCCTTTAAACCTTTGAACCTCTTCAAGTGAAACTAAATCAGAACCATCTTAACCAACTACTCTTAATTGTACCATTTCAGTTGAATAGTTGACTTGACTTAATCAGTCATAACAAAACAAAACGTTATTTAACCCAATGGTCATCAATTTACTCCTGGTTTTGAGATGAAATGCGACAGTCTGCAGCTGAAAGGATAAAGATGAAGATGTAAACCCTTGGGTATCTTTGATACATTTTTCCTTGATTATTACTTCAAGCAGAACTGGTCATTTTACCTAAATTTGTCCTTCTTTACCAGATTACTTTTTGTCCATTTCACTTTAACCATTTGTCCTGATTGATTACCTTTAATAGATGGTCTCTTGTTAACAGTCGCTTGATTGATTAAAGTCTAACCCTTCCAAGATTAACATTCAACAAGATCAAAATGAAAGATTCAAACTTGATCCATCTTAAATCCCATTCATTATCCCAACCCAAAAGATGGTCAACAACAAGAAACAATCTCATCAATAAAATGGTTTAATTACAAAAATGAACATTTAAATAGTCAACCAAAGCTTCAAACCAGAAACCTAAAAACCAGAAAAAAATGAAACCCAAAAGTCATTTCCATTTGCAAAATAATTACCATTTCTTGATTTACATACAAATAATTATTCTAGATGTTTCAAGTGAAATTTTGTTCAAGATAATGTTTAGCCAAACCTTAGGCTAGGTTTGGGTCTTGGGTTAGATGAAAATCAAGATGCAAATGAATGCTCAACTCTTTTGTTCACCAAACTGTACACATTTGATTGATTGTTCCCAGCTAATTTCACGTCCTTTCCTCGATCAACTCAACATTTGTTTATTTATCATTCTCTTCCTCATCATCTTCATCTCCATCTTTACTTTATTTTAGCAAAAACCTTCACGTCAAACACTATTTGATTGCCTTCGAAGTAATCTTCACCTTAAGTGCCTTGTATTAACCTTCCTTATACTATCTGGAATAGTAACCATCCTTTGGTGTAAAATTGGCCAAATAACTCGTTTTATCCTCAATTTTCAGGTAAGCCTTTTTTGTTTCCCATATTATTACAATAACGATAACCCAGATAGAGATGAATGAATATAACAAAAAGTGAACAACAACAAAAAAAAACGAAATAAAAACATGAATTTTAGGCTTCAACAACATTATTGCACTTCAACTGGCTAAAGGTAAATCCAATGAAATTGGTGACACTATTATCGATTGAACTAAATTGACTTAGTTTACCAGTTTTCAGAATATTAAAATGCCTACAATTACCTCGATTATAGAGATATAAGAATTTTCAATTCTATTCAGATTTATGTTCAATTCAACCAAAGGTTACCTAAAACAAACCAGAAATTAGCTTGAAAATTAGCAAAAATTGGAATGAAAATTTTCTGGTTTCTTTCTGGTTCAACTTGAGATGTTTACATTTACTGTTTTCAACCAAATCCTGACCCAAATCAAATTCAAGATTAACATGACATTAACTTGATCTAAATGGTTAGCAATCACAGTAAATGCTGAACCCAAAAAGCAAATCGTAATCAAGTGAAACCAAAACTTGAGATGAAAAAAGCTAAGGATTTACTTTTAACTCTTTCACTTGTTATGAGTGTTGTTGATGATAAAAGCAACCTCCAAGTCTGAAATAATCATAACATGAAATTTTATCCAACCAATGGTGACATTGCCATGAATAAACAAAGTTGAGTAAAAGAAAAGGATGAAAAAGGAAAACATTTTAACCGTGAAATTTTATCTGTTTCAGATAGTTCAATGTTAATCAAAAATGTTTCACTGAATGTTTAAGTTGAAAGGTTCCATGCAGGGAATGAAATACATAAAAAGGTTGATAAAAGACGAGAGTTGATTATCACTAACTAACTGCTAAATAACCAGCTTGATGACATTTTTGATTATCACGCAACCAGAAAAGCTACCTTTTAAACCTAAACTGATTGATACTAAATGGTTTTGTCAGTTGTTGATTAAAAGACAGATTTAAAACAATCAGCAAAATCAAAAAATATAATCAATCAATAAAATCTGAACCAAAATTTTCAAAACTGAAACCTTTCTTGAAATATTGTCATTTGAGTACAAAAAGAAGCCAAAATGATCATAATTATGATTATATTTCACTATTCATGGAACCATTTTCATCAACCTTTTTCCCTGTTGGTGTTCAGCTTTTGTCATCTTTTACCATGTAATTTAGATGATTATGTATTATTATTACTTTATCATGAAGACAATTGTTTCCAGACTAGAGACAAAATTAAAATGCTTTTCGTGTCATTTTAAGGCTAAAAGATGATTATGATGATGAGTTGAAAAAGTCAACAGGGAAAAGATAAAAGTGCAAAAAAAAAGGTTGATCATCACTGGGTTAAGATGTTGCTTGAAAATCAATAAGATTCACGAAATTCATTGTTCATGATAATCCATCATCAGCCATTAAGATTTATCTCTTTTCTTTCCAAACATTATTCAGTATAATGCAAGAATATTAAAATTGAAAGTGAACCCATTTTATTATTAAACTTGCCCATCAACATAATCGCTATTTGTTATTGAAAGAATCAATTTTATCCCAATTTCAACAATCAATCTTTACAAATTAAACCCGAAACTCAACACTCTTCAACCATTGAATAAGCCTTGATGGCCAAGTGTTTACTTTGTCTGGTTTACCCACTTTTTGATTCTGGTTTTCATTTCATTTTCTGGTCTCATTCACAGTCTTTACAAATGGCTGGACGAAGACGTACAAGTCCCTGTGATGAGGGTTACATTTATATTCCAATGGTGTTTGTTTTAATGCTTTATATTGCATATTTAATTGAATGTTGGCATTCATCTACTCGTTCACAATTGGTAAGTTAATAATGTAAATTGTTTACCTTTTAGCCAATAGTAACCTTAACATGGTCATCAAGTTGAACAAACAGAAAGCCATTGAAAGGTATACTTTAAATGAAAATGTTCAATTGCTCATTCAACCTTTAGATTTTACCATTTCTTTCAACTGTCCATTCCAAATACTAACCATGGTTAATATTTCCACCATGTAATTTTGAAACAACCAAAGCTCATTGCGATCGATAAAGGTTCAGAAATGTTTCTTTATTTTAAATTCAAACCACTTTTGATAACAAATTAACCAAAATTAACCTTCACCAAAAGTAACCCAATACCACTTGGAAACTGTTTAACCACCAATTTAGCTGACAATTTACCTTTAAATAAACGTAATTAATCAATTTCCTTTACAATTTAATTTCCTATTTTTGTTAATTACTTTAAACCTTTTACAAGGGAAAAAGGTTAACCCAAAATTAAGATCAAGTTTAGACAAAAATGTAAATGTTATGTTTGGTGAACAAATTGGTGATTTCATCTTAATGGTGTCAATGTGACAATTTATTTAGATTGTCATTGAGACATTGTAATTACCGTGATAAAAGTATTGATAAAGATAATTGTGAGTTTATTGGATCATTTTATTACTCCTGTTAATACAGTTATTGTGATAAAAAGTTCATTTCTGTGCCTTTTCTGGTTCACCTTTTCATGCTTTTCAAAGAGTGTCTTCTTGTTAACAACGACTATATCATTCTTATCATCATAATCATTATTATTAACTATTAAGATGTCATCCTTTTGTGTGCTTCCTTTCATCATTCTCATCCTTTTCCATCTTCATCATCTTCACCATCCTGACTTCATCCTTTCCATCTCAATGATAACTTAATGAACCATACTTTATTGAGGCATAAATTATGTATTTATTACTTGATGTTGACCTCAATATTTAACTAAATTGTCAAATGATTCTGCTCAGTTAAATGTTTCATCTCACAGATGAACAACAATTAACATCAGTTGAACAAGATTAACATTAACATGTAAGACTTGAAAATTGTAGCATTCTGAGTAAATTAATTATTGATCAAAATGAGACTTGCAATTAGATAGTAAATTGAATTTTTGCTCATCAAAATTGTCACTAATAGCTATTGCAACAAGTTGATGTAGCCTTTAAATCCCTTAACATTTAGGCAAAAACCTCCATGTAATCAGGGTTTTACCAGTCAAACCTTTCCAGTTTCTGGCCTTTCAATCTGGCAAGACAAAGTAATCAAATTGTTAGACATTCAACCAATTAGCTAAATAATTAAAATTTAATCATGGAAACCCATTTTTCAGTTTAAAGACTCAGAGTAATTAATAATACCAGAAGGTAACATTGGTTCAACCTTGTCAACTTGATCATTCATCATCTTTGACACTGGTGAACAATTCAATGTTGAGATTAATGGTGAAATTAAACTTGAAATTGGATTGTCCAATTTCCTCTCTTTTCTTACATCATGTTCCTCATCTTCATGTTTTTACTCAAAATATGAATTACTTAGGAAGAGAAAGAGTCAAAAAGGATCGATTGGATCAATAAAAGGGTAAAATCTTCAAGTTGAACCATTTTTACCCAAAAAAAAGCATCAACATCCAGTCACACTTTATCAATGAACTTGCTTATGAAACAATCGAGATCAAGTCACGTTCAATGTAAATTAATAATACCAGAAGCCTGAACATGGCGCATCAATATCAATCTTAATCATCATCTCATATCTTTTTCATATAATTCAATTGAAACCCTCGATAAGATCAATTAAACCTTTCACTTGAACAAAAATAATCAAATATTCATGACACAATTTTGTTTCCCTTTTTACATAACAATAATTATCCAAACCTTTCAAACAATAGTTACAATTTAACCAACAAAAATAGCAAGCAATATGAATATTTCATTATAATAACCAGGAATGAAAAAAGTAAACCAGAAACTAAAAGAGTTCATTTTCAATTCTTGTTTGTCTTCTTATTGATAATCATTTTCCCAATACAATAAAGTGTTGATTTAATCAACCATGATAACTATCAAAAGGCAAGAATGATTTCATGATGAAAGAAGACAAATAAAAGGCCAAACAAAAATAGTGGCCAAAAAGATGCATTGAAAAGCAGCTGAACCCAAAATACAAAACATTACCAGAAATGGAAACATTTACATCCATTTCTTTTATTATTTTTCCATATTCACTACAATAATATAATCTTAAATCATCATCATCATCATCACCATCACCATCATCTTCATCGTCATCATAAGTCTTTTCATTTTCATTCTGAAATGGATAAGCACTTGAAGTTAAAAAAGGCATTTTTTGTTTGCAGCTTCAGCCTGAAGCTTTTATCATTTGTCATCATGGGAAAAATTTATCTACCCAAATGATGTTGTTCATGATGATGGAGACCAAACCTTGTGAAATATTATTCCATTGAACCAAATATTACATTCATTCTGAAACTTTTCTTTTCCTTTTTTTACTTTTTTTTCCTTCTTTTCCTTCTTCTTCTTCTTCTCCTTTCCAAATGCTTTATCCTTTCCATTGGTTCACAAGCCTTTTATCATTTGTTATTTCCTTCTGTTTTTATCATTCTTATCGTCTTTTCTTCCCTTTCCAACTCCCTGTTATTATGATAACAACAACAATGTTTGGTGATATCAAGGGGACAGAAATAGACAAACATGAAGTTCATGTGTTCAGAATAGAGTTTCAAACATCTCCAAGTCAATTGAAATTACTTTTTTAATGTTTTGTTTCCCTGTTACTTTTTTTCCGATCATTTTACAACAATTTTTGATTTTCCCTTCAAAATGAAAAACTCCTTCAATTTGATTCTTTCAATAATCCATTTAAACATTAACATACAATTGACAGTTGCCATTCCAATCATTAATCAATCTTGAAGGTAAATAATTAAATGCTCAAACAGAATCAAACAGAAAATATTGAAAATCTTTGCATCAAAAGCAATTGCTAGTGATAAGTAAATTAGTTTGCTTTGCCATTTTTACTTGTGAAACAAATTGCTTGTGATAACAATTAATGGAGTGAAAATTGCAATTGATTTGAACAGAAACCAGATCAGTCATCATTAGCTGTTTAATCGTCTATTTGTGTTGATCAATCAAACAAAAATGATCCCATTAAGTTGCTCATTGAATGTCACATTAACAATAATCATCTTTAATCATCATCACAAACCATCATTACAATAATCATTACAATAACCATTAGCCATTAGTGACACCAACAGACCAAGTAAAATGGTTTCAAATGGTTTCTTCCAGAAAATGGAAAATGAAAAATTGATCAAATAATTGTCTTCCGTCAAGTTCATTTCAATTTATGTAAATACAGCTGATTCAATCTCATCTTGAGAAACTCTTTTCTTATATTTGCATCAAAATTTTCACTCCCAATTCACCAAAGTAAAATAATCATTTCTCATGTAAATATTGAACATTTGAATATTGATATTGGAAACTGGGAAAAAATGGTTCAAAATATTCATTACCATGAGACACTATTTTCCATGACAAAGGATAAAATAATGAAAAGAAGAGGAAAACTGGTCAATCTGATGAACTCTCAAGATGACCGTTTAAAACATTATTGAAAGTGAACAAAATAATGAAACAAAATGTGACCAAAGAAGGGCAAAAAAAGGTGACACAAAAAGGTAGATTTTATCTTATTCTGATCCATTTACTCAGTGATTGTCAGATATGATTATCATGGATTGTTATTCAAGCCAAGGAAACATAAAAATGCCATTTTTGACTCTTATTTACATTTATTTATTGATATAAAAATTTATCATATTTGACATTTGAAGGTTGACAGAAAAAGTGAAAAATATTTTTGCTCACTTTTCTGGTCAAAGATAAAGAAACCCATTTTTAACCCAAAAAATGGGAAAAAACATGAAAATTCAGTTGAACAAGAAAATGTTGATAAAACATTTTATCCAGTTTTGTCATTTTATTCATTTGGTTCAATAGTTGTTCAATCACAAGATATTAATAAATTGAACTGTTTAACTCAATTTGATAAACACATTTTCATATTCAATTCAATTCGGTGCAAAATGATAGAAAAAAAATGTTTTTCTTTCCTCTTTTCTGAATCTTAACAAATGTTTTCAATATTTTATTCACAAATATCCAAGATAAGCTGAATAATATGAACTGAAGAGGTTACAAGATGATATTATTAGTCTCTATGGTAAGGAACATGAAAATGGATATTATTACCTGAAACATTAACAGCAATATTAAGAGTAATAAGATCTTAGGTAACCTTTTACAAGCATCTTAATTGATTAAGTTAATCAATTCAGAGATCATTTTTCAATATAAATAATACATTGACAAAAAGGTTATTAGAAACTATTGGTTTCAAGTTAACCCAAATTTTTGTCCAAAAAAGTCTCATCATTTTGATGTCTTTTTTGCTGCCTTTTTCTGGTTCCATTGATGTTGCTTTTAAAGATCTTTCAATGTTGTCTTATTTGTTTGTTTGGGTCAGGGAAACACTGATTTTCCATCAGGAACCAGAAAAAATGAAAGTTCCAACCGTGAACTGCATTTCCAATGAGAATAACAATTTCCTGAGTTGCTCCATTATTTTTACTTCTTTTCCTTGTTTTATAACATTTCTGGTTCCTTTGTGACTTTTCAGGTTACCCTTTATTTCCCATGCAACGGACCATAAAATGAATACAACTCAAGACTCAGTTTTCAAGATGATTCTGAACAGTTATAAAACATTGATTAACCTTGAGGTTTAACTTTGGGATTGATTACATCAAAACAAGTCTAAAATAATGAATCCTTTTCAAGCAACACTAAAGATTGAACATTTTACTTTATTATTCATCTGAGTTTTATCAAAATTCATGAAGAAATGATGAAAGATGATGAAAATGTTAAACTGATGCTCAAGATGAAACAATTAGATAAAAATCATCTTTTCCATCACAATCTTAACTCTCTTCTGGGAGTTTTGAATAAAACATTTTAAACTCTAGCTTTTTTTGTCCTCATTTTATAATCATATTTGATTTTTCCTTTTGATTTACTTTTCTATTTATCTTTTACTCGTTCATAAATTATATTTGTAACAATGAATTGTCATGATTAAGTGAAAGCAAACAATCAATTCAATTGTGAAAGGTTTAAAATCGCAAAAAATATGATTACTTTTTCATTTTACATTGAAGACTTTACCTTTTACCATTCAACCTTTATTCACTTATTTTGCCAAGAAACTTATTTGCAATTCAACTCAGCCTTACATTTTGTATTCCTAATGTTAATCATTACCTTCAATCATTTTCAATATTTAATTAGCATTGAATCAATACAAGTTAAGGTTTAATTATTGATATTTTCATTGAGTTCAATCCAATGGCTATTTTGATTGTAAATCTGGTAAATTTGGGTTAACTAATTGACTTGTTAATGTTGCTCAAAATTTTCAAAACAATGGATTAGACTTGAAGCTTTCTGCTTCTGGTTCATCCTGGTTTTTTGATTGATATCATCAACATTAGATAGATTATTATTGCGCTTTTGTACAACAATTAATTTCAATCATTTGGTTTGCCCATTAATTTAATTAGGTTTACAGTGTTGATGCTAAAACGGTTGAAAATTATATCCAGCAAATGAAAGACTCTCAACCCATTATTTGGTGGAAAGCAGTTTGTTATCATTACATGAGGAGATCAAGAACGGTAAATCATGTCCCCATAAATCAGTAATTTTATTACAGAATTCAATGTTTAATTAATGTCTCAACTAATGGTGATTGTAAATTTTACATTTTACAGTTGACTCGATATCGAAATGGTGAAGCCTCAACAACAACCCAAATTTATTATGAAAGGATAAACACTCACATTGCTGGGAGTTGCTTTTCCTATGCTGGTTGTGGTTATAAAGATGTATCAAAAAATTTGATTGACTTGGACAAGCATCCATCAACTCGAATTAAATTTAGCAAAGGTAACGAAAATTGGACTTGCTTTTGATACAAATTAACCTCAACATTTAAGCCTTTTTACCTTTTCTTAATCATTTTGTCTCTTCTTCTTCTATTTTTGAAACCAGGATTTGCTTTTGCTACCATTGAAGCTGCCAATGAATTTGAAGTCCAAAGAAATCGATTTTTTCATGAATGTGAAAGACATGATGATTATCTTGAAATGAGGGAAGGTCTTGACTTAATTGGATGTAATTTTCAAGAATACATGATCTCATCTGCAGATAAATCGTTGGTGCCTTGGTAATGAATCCCATTTCATTCAAATCGATGGAAACAATCAATTTTTACAATTCACTGTTATTGATGTTTTGGTCTTTTTTAGGTACTTTTCACACTTCGCTTTCTGGGTATTTTCATTTGCTCTTCTTTCATGGCCTATCCGTATCTTAATTGAGCTCAAAACATCCCATGTTAATTATCAGGTTAGTATTGATTTGAACAGCTGAAGGGTTTTAATTTTAGATTTTGGTTTTGGTTTTTTTTGGGTTTTTTCAGGTTACTAAATTATTTGGTTTTAACCAGTTAAACCAAGCTGGCTTCAATCGTATTGGTAATTTTGCAAGCATCGATTCCTTTGAGCTTGTTGCTAATTGTACTCTTGCGCCTAGTTATTCAGAGGCAATATTAATTTGTAATATAAATAATAATAGTAATAATAATAATTCTGTCAATGGAATGAATAATCAAGCGGTTAATTTAGTTTCTGATGTAACCAATCAAGATGATCAAACTGGTTCAATGGATCATTCAAAGGTTTCTGGTGATTCTTTGGCTATTCAAATGTCTTCATCAAATATTAATGGACAATCATGTAGTCGTACTTCATTGATTAATGGACAATTTGTGTATTTACCTCGACCATTGGGTCATGGACAGTCTAATGTTGTTCATCTTGATGATCCATCAACCTGTTTAATATCAACTACAAGTTTATTGCGCGAGGAAACAAATAACAGCAACAATGATAACACAAACCAAGCCAATCCACCCACGTATGAAGAGGCAATCACTGAATGTCGACCTTTATTAACCCAAATGAGACCTTTGAACAGGTCGATAACTGTTGATCGTGATTTCTTCCGCCGTTTGAGTAACCAAATAAGAAACCCTTGGGGAAGTTTGACCAATTTTCTTGGTTTATCGCACACACGGTCCTCTGCATCTATTAATTTAACTACCGAAAGGAATGCTGTTGAGTTGTGAATCATGTTGAAATCAACAACGAAAAGACTCAACCTTTGTGAAACTGCATTGACTGATTCAGATATTCATGCTCATTCAGTATCAGCTACAAATAATCTCAGAAATAATTGAGCTACAAGGTGAATTGTAATCTGAACACAGATACTCACAGGTACAATCTTGTTTCATTTTCAAGCGAAATTTCTTGACCTTATCACACAGATCAAGAGCGTTATTTACGTGTACAAAGCCAATAGCTTTACGATGAGCTATTTCACTTGTTTGAAAAATCAAGAAAAAATTACTGAAATATTGTAATGTTTAAAGATTATGAAGATAAATTTGATAAAAAATTAAATAAATGAACTTTTCAAAACCAATAACATACTAGAACTAAACCTTTTTCATTAAAATAAGTCTGAGTCGATCGGTGGAAATATTTTTTTTCTGGTTGACCGGTGTCAAGAAAAGCGAGGTATTCTGTTGTACAAAACAGACAATTTCATTTCTGAAATGAGTGTAAAATGTGAAAAATGATTTTGCTGAAAAAACATGTTCCACAACTGTACAGAAGTCGATCCAAGATTCAACTTTCACCTCGGTTTTTGCCTTTTGACAGTGTCAAAAAATAAACTTGAATTTGTACAGCTGATAATCTTTTATTATTTTGGAACGAAATTCAAAAAGTAATTGGAATTGTTTTTATTGTAAAGATTAAAGACTATATGAGCACAATTATCTTATGATACGTGTTTATTTATGATGCTATTATATCGACTTTTGCAACATTTACATAGATTATTACACCAACATTAAACAAGCTACAAGTTTAATTGATTGCAAAATTTATATTATATTGTCAAATGATCTAATAATTTGCTGTGATTTTCAAGAGATACCACGAGACACTTGTAAAAATGTGTAACTCAACAATTAACTTTGAGGATAAATCATCAAGATTTGATGAGTTTTGCTCAGCAATATTTTTCTTAGCTCAGGAAAATCACCTAAATCACATTGAAGTAAAAAAGAGTGTTTCAATTGTTTGATATGGTTTAATTTGAGTACTTTTGGAATAATGTAACGTAAAGAAATGAAAAATTTATAATTGATTAACTCCTTTGGAAAATTTATTTTTGATTTACCAAGATGTATTTACAAAGATTGTTATAGTACAATGAAAAACAGACGAAAAATAACTATGCTTTATGAAGCACGGTTGATAACAATGAAAACTAAAAACAATGCAATTTAAAAAAATTAAAATTTCAATTTAAAACGAGAATAATGCTAATTTAGCAAAGCATATTGTATTTTAGGGCAAATCCTTTACCATGGACTTTACCAGTATTTTTAACTTCAATCATGAATGAAGTAAGACGTGATGGAGATGAGACGAATTTTTGTCCAAAATGAAGATCATTTCCACAATGAACAGGACTGGTAAAATCGGCGGGAGTTGGAAAAATCAAAATATCTTGATCTTGGCAAATACCTTGTGGACTATTACCGGCAATCAAACTTTCCAATTTATCTAACTTGTCTGATTCTCCTCCAAGATTTTGAATCTTAAAATCAGTTAATGCTTCAACACTTGATTGCATGGGAGCATTGTAAGCACCAAAATATCCATTTGGATGAACAGCCCATGGTCTTGCTCCACCGATAGTTGGCACAATTGATGAGTATGGAAGCTTATAAAGGAATTGTGAAAATGGATACTTTTGTGCGGTTGTTAAAGCAGGCAAGTGATATACTGGTCGAGATTGTGAAGCTGGTTGGTAAGATGGTCTAAAAGCAGGTCTATAAGCAGGTCTTAGAAGGCCATTAAATCTGTTGCTTGGCTTGTATTTGAGTGCAGGTCTAAAACCACCATAATTTAGTTTATATGTTGGAGGTTGACGAGCGGGTGCGAGTTCGGAACCACGTGAAAATTTATTGTTTGAAAGAGTTGAAAGAGCGCTATCATGACTTTTAACTCGGCCTCCAAGATCAAAGAAAAGATCAGTAAATTCAACTTGACATCCAGTAGGTGCATCAATACATATACCATAATCAAGATCATCAATATTACCAAGACCAGTATTATTGGCTAAATCGAAATTCAAACTTGTTAATAGACCAGATGGATTCACGGAAATATTGAGTGCATCCAGTTGGTGGTTTTTCAGGACTCTTGGCATCAATCATTTCAACTCGGATTAGCCAACGTCTAGCAAGAGCACCATTATCAGCTAATTCAATGTTGATGAATATGTCGGTTAATTCAATGACTGTTGGAATGTAAAGATGAGTTTTAGTGTTGAGACCGCAAATTTTTCCCAATTTGAATGTTGGCAAGATACCACCGACAACAGAGAAAGAATCAACATCGCATCGACCAGTTTCAGCATTGGGTTGAGCCAATTCCATATCTTCAATCAAAAGCTTAATGTGAGAAATTCCAAAAGGTTTAACCAATTTGACACCACATTTTCCAGCTTGATTTGTTGCTGAAGGGAATCCAGGATTTGCGAGAACGGTATTATTTAACAAGGAAAATTCACCACATTTGATTGGTTTAACACAGCATACTACATCACCAATACATAACCCTTTACCATCACCGAAACCACCATCAGCGGCACAAGCATTGAAAGACATACATTTTCCAGCTTTTAAACTTGTTTGACCAAGACATGGAAAGGCACCAGTTAACAGAGACAATGGGGCTGTTAATTTGTCAAAAAATGATTCAGGCTTGGAAATTGATTCACCTGCAGCAATTGGGCCATTATTATTCGGGAAAACTTGAGGCAATCTTACGGGATCTGGAGTAGCAAGTAATTCGTTAAGATCAACTGTCCTTGAGTCAGCAGCATGAGTAGAAGTAAATGTAAATAATAACACTAAAATCGAAAAATGATTCATTTTGGAAATGGAAAAGTGAAGATCCAAGAAGGAGATGAGTTGACTAAAAATGTAAACGAAGGAGTTATCAGCCCAGCAAAAAAAAGAAATCTAGAAAATAAAGAAAAGAAAAGAAAAAATTAGAAGAAAATTAGCAACATTTAAAGATTATATTTTTAACACAATACTTGAAGGACAACTTACTTAATAGTTGATCAAATTAACTGATGATAGTTTGAACAAAAGTCTCGGCTTATATACTTTTGATCATAATATCTTACTTGTCTGTTATTGGCTGTAAATTAACCAATCATTAGTTGTATAAGAAAATTATCAATTGCAAAGAGATAAGAATAAATTGGTTAATGTAGCGATCAAACAATTTTAAAAAATCTGATTGGATAAGATGAAGATTGAGTCAAAAGTGCAAAAAAGAGCTTAGTGAGCTGAATTGCCAGAGAATCAGGCTATATAAACTAGACTTTTGTTCAAACTAATCATCAGTTAATTTGATCAACTATTAAGTAAGTTGTCCTTCAAGTGTTGAGTTAAAAATTTTAATCTTTTAACTGTTGCTAATTTTCTTCTAATTTTTTCTTTTCTTTTCTTTATTTTCTAGATTTCTTTTTTTTGCTGGGCTGATAACTCCTTCGTTTACATTTTTAGTCAACTCATCTCCTTCTTGGATCTTCACTTTTCCATTTCCAAAATGAATCATTTTTCGATTTTAGTGTTATTATTTACATTTACTTCTACTCATGCTGCTGACTCAAGGACAGTTGATCTTAACGAATTACTTGCTACTCCAGATCCCGTAAGATTGCCTCAAGTTTTCCCGAATAATAATGGCCCAATTGCTGCAGGTGAATCAATTTCCAAGCCTGAATCATTTTTTGACAAATTAACAGCCCCATTGTCTCTGTTAACTGGTGCCTTTCCATGTCTTGGTCAAACAAGTTTAAAAGCTGGAAAATGTATGTCTTTCAATGCTTGTGCCGCTGATGGTGGTTTCGGTGATGGTAAAGGGTTATGTATTGGTGATGTAGTATGTTGTGTTAAACCAATTAAATGTGGTGAATTTTCTTTGTTAAATAATACCGTTCTCGCAAATCCTGGATTCCCTTCAGCTACAAATCAAGCTGGAAAATGTGGTGTCAAATTGGTTAAACCTTTTGGAATTTCTCACATTAAGCTTTTGATTGAAGATATGGAATTGGCTCAACCCAATGCTGAAACTGGTCGATGCGATGTTGATTCTTTCTCTGTTGTCGGTGGTATCTTGCCAACATTCAAATTGGGAAAAATTTGCGGTCTCAACACTAAAACTCATCTTTACATTCCAACAGTCATTGAATTAACCGACATATTCATCAACATTGAATTAGCTGATAATGGTGCTCTTGCTAGACGTTGGTTAATCCGAGTTGAAATGATTGATGCCAAGAGTCCAGAAAAACCACCAACTGGATGCACTCAATATTTCCGTGAATCATCTGGTCTATTAACAAGTTTGAATTTCGATTTAGCCAATAATACTGGTCTTGGTAATATTGATGATCTTGATTATGGTATATGTATTGATGCACCTACTGGATGTCAAGTTGAATTTACTGATCTTTTCTTTGATCTTGGAGGCCGAGTTAAAAGTCATGATAGCGCTCTTTCAACTCTTTCAAACAATAAATTTTCACGTGGTTCCGAACTCGCACCCGCTCGTCAACCTCCAACATATAAACTAAATTATGGTGGTTTTAGACCTGCACTCAAATACAAGCCAAGCAACAGATTTAATGGCCTTCTAAGACCTGCTTATAGACCTGCTTTTAGACCATCTTACCAACCAGCTTCACAATCTCGACCAGTATATCACTTGCCTGCTTTAACAACCGCACAAAAGTATCCATTTTCACAATTCCTTTATAAGCTTCCATACTCATCAATTGTGCCAACTATCGGTGGAGCAAGACCATGGGCTGTTCATCCAAATGGATATTTTGGTGCTTACAATGCTCCCATGCAATCAAGTGTTGAAGGATTAACTGATTTTAAGATTCAAAATCTTGGAGGAGAATCAGACAAGTTAGATAAATTGGAAAGTTTGATTGCCGGTAATAGTCCACAAGGTATTTGCCAAGATCAAGATATTTTGATTTTACCAACTCCTGCCGATTTTACCAGTTCTGTTCATTGTGGAAATGATCTTCATTTTGGACAAAAATTCGTCTCAGCTCCATCACGTCTTACTTCATTCATGATTGAAGTTAAAAATACTGGTAAAGTCCATGGTAAAGGATTTGCCCTAAAATACAATATGCTTTGCTAAATTAGCATTATTCTCGTTTTAAATTGAAATTTTAATTTTTTTAAATTGCATTGTTTTTAGCTTTCATTGTTATCAACCGTGCTTCATAAAGCATAGTTATTTTTCGTCTGTTTTTCATTGTACTATAACAATCTTTGTAAATACATCTTGGTAAATCAAAATAAATTTTCCGAAGGAGTTAATCAATTACATATTTGCATTTCATTTCATTTCTTTGCTTTATTCCAACACTACTCAAATTAAACCATATTAACCAACCATCTAAAACAATTGAAACACTTTGCTTTATTTCAATGTGATTTAGGTGATTTTCCTTAGCTAAGAAAAATATTGCTGAGCTAAAACTCATCAAATCTTGATGATTTATCCTCAAAGTTAATTGTTGAGCCACACATTTTTACAAGTGTCTCGTGGTATCTCTTGAAATCACAGCAAATTATTAGAGCATTTGACAATATAATATAAATTTTGCAATCAATAAAACTTTTAGCTTGATTAATGTTGATGTAATCTATGTAAATTAATGTGACAAAAGTCAATATAATAGAATCATAAATACACACGTATTATAAGATAATTGTATCTAATTTAGTCCTTAATCTTTACAATAAAATATTAATACACAATTCATTTTTGAATTTCGTTCCAAAAAAGTAAAGATTACCAGCTGTGCAAATTCACGTGATCTTTGTTTTTGTTCAAGGTTTCAATTTGCAACTCTTACACTGTGGTAGTTTGATTAGACTAACTATGGTGTTAAAATCTGTATTACTTTTTATTTTAAATGAGCTTACTAAACTAACTAAAATTTAATTTATTCAATTTCAATTTTTAATTATGTCAACTATATTGTGTATGAAATGTTTGTCCAGTTATTTAATTTATTGACCGTCCATTATTGTTTTATATTTTCTGTATTGTTTCTGCTTGTTATTATCATCTCGCTTCTCTTTTGTACTTTTTCTACTACCTTGTTAATTTTAATTGCTGTGCTTATTTATTGTGGCTATAAATTATCTTCTTGGATCTCAAGTTTAAATGAAAAAGATCCAGTTGCACCATATGATTGGTTCGGTAATGTATATTTCTATTACATGCTATTTTATTTGACTATCAAATTTATCTTTTCAATCTTACAACATTACAATGTTTTAGTAATACATTTTCTTGATTTTGTCAAACAGATGAATTGGCTCATCGTAAAGCTATTGGCTTAATAAATAACGCTCTTGATCTGAGTAATGTGGAACATTGTGGTCAAGAAATCTCGCTTGAAAATGAAACCTTCAAGATCAGTGAAAATCTGTGTGCAGATTACATCGTACCTTGGTGTACTACAATTAGTCCAGAGTCTTCCTTCCCAGCTGATGCTGAAAGAGCTATATTTGAATTAATCCATGCAATTTTACGAAGGTTGACAGTAATTGATACAATCGAACTTTTTAAAGATGTCTTAATCTGGTTTCAACTGATGTGCTTACCTGAAACGCGTGATAAATTGATTCTCAGCAACGAGGAAATGAACGTTTTCTTACAAGTTAGTTCAGAAAAAGTCTTGAAATCCTGTTCGCCAACCTTCAGTGCCTTGATTGATGGAAGAGACAAATCTGAAGGATCCAATGACCCATTGGTATCAATGATATACAATTTAACCAGCAGTGCGGCTATAATTCCTATATTCGATCTCATATCTGATCCTGAATTTTTGAATCAATGTATTGCTAGATTGTTCAGCATAAAATTTCGAGATGATGCACCAGTCAAGCCTGAAGAGATTCAAAATTATCTCCAAAATTCGCCAGAGCCGTTATTAATGCCACCCAAATATCTGATTGATGGTACAGCAAGAAGCATCAGCGTTGATGCTAAGCTTTTGAAAGAAAATAATCTCGATTCACCAACTGAATTGCTCGGAAATCGATTCAAAATACATAAAAGAAGTCTCAGTCAACCTGGCAGTATTGAGCAGCCCGAGATAACTGAAATTGTTGGTGTGTATTATAATTATTAGAACTTACTGCCTATTAATCTTGCTGCTTGTCAAACTCATGTGATTAGTTCCAAGTCAATTTACGCCCTGAAAAGTCATTGAAATTGAAACATACATCCTTTGATACGCTAATATATTAGTTATTGTTATTTTTATGACTCATCAGGGGTAAATAATCTTGCATCTTTAATCATAGCTAAAACTGTTAATTTGATTCATTGTTTTTAAGAGATAAAAATTTAGAATTTTAAGCGCGATTCAGTATTTATCTTTACTCCAAACTTAAGCCTTCAAACAAACTTGATGACATTGATCTCAATATTTATTTTTCTAATCGCATTATTTCATTATCTTTATCCTTTGATTAGATATGCAGCTGCAAAGTTCTCAACGACCCATGGATTCATTGCCCTGTGAAACAGGAATAGATCTGGATTCACTACCTAACCCAAGCTCCAGAGTATTCAGAAACATTCGTATCGACAAATGGGAATTGGTTAAAAAATCAAGAGAGTTGTACGTTGTTTACATAATTGATGTGGATGCACTATATGAAGAAGTTCATCCCGAGAAAATTTACAAATCGACATCTGAAGAAGATACTCGTGAAGAGTGTATTGTTTCTTCATTAATATGGAAAAAATTAACTATAAAACATCGATTCCGAGAATTTGTTGATCTTCAAGTAAAACTGGAGAACCATACACGACTTCGTGGGACACTTCGAGCAATGAACAAAACTGTGATTAAACCATCTACATTGAAGTTGTATTTAATGTCTCTCAATCCACTTCGCTCTAGTGTCTCTAATAAGGGAGTCATTGAACACCGTCGAAAGTGTTTGGAGAAATATCTCAATGAATTATCTAAATTTGAAAGAATTTCAAGATCTCGTGAGTTTCGCGATTTCTTGGGCTATAAAGAAGAACGTTCTAGTTTCTTACGAAGTCCAAGTCAATCAATTCTAGTTCCACTCGGTATCGATAAGGTATACCGGAATGTCCGTGATGCTATCACTTTTCTGAAGCCTACCAATCCTACAGAAGGAACTTTTGCTCCTGGTCCAACTCTGGTCATATCAGACTCTCCATTAACTTGTCTTAAACTGACCAAAATTTCTCACAATAAGCCTTCTAAGATCTTGAAACTAATCAACGAACCTCGTTTTATTCAAAGTTTGATACAGTCGATTGATACAAAAAAGGAGATTAGCAACAGTAATAATTCGGTCCCTGATTTTTCTTTTCTCAATTTGGGCAAAAGATCTCAAGGCGATGGATGTGACGACTCACCAGAACATTCACAATGTAAACAAAGATCTGTCAAAATTCCGTTGGTTGAATCATTAATCAATATTATCCAAACTATCATTCCATTATCAACAACCTCATGGTTTACTTTAATTCTGCTAACAATTAAGGTCTATTTAGGCTCTACTTTAGAAAGGTAAGTGTTTACGCATTTATTTTTTCATTTCAATCGCCATTGTTTTTTAAGATTTTCAAATTCTAATTACCTTTTATTTTTCATTTCTAGATTACTCGGAGCGCTAATTATGCGCATTTGTTGTACGGAAACTTTCGCTTACCTTTTACATACTTTCCATGAGTCCATTTGGGAAGATGACGATAAAGATGAATTGGTTAAACATGAACTTCCATCAGCCTCCCATTTAGTAGACCAGTTGGTCAATATGTTACGAAACAAACCATTGTTAAATTACGTACCAATTACACACCTTGAACAATCAGTCCAATCAATGTTCAACACTTTCCAAAGCAAGGATCATAACAAAATGTTTATTCTCTTGGTTCTTTCTTCTCTCCTGAAAAGATCTCAAATTTATTAAATGCAATTAGATCTGAAAAAATATACTCAATATTGTTTTCGCGATTTCTCTTTAAATAATTGTAAAGCATAATAATGATATTCTGGTTATTTGAATAAAATCAATATAAAAATTTAAAATAAATCATTTTGCCATTTTGATGGTGAGGTTGATATTGTAACATATTGCGAAAAGTTTATTCATTGAGTGCAGTAGCCATCATTGAAAAGTATGACAGTTTTAATCGATCGCAACATATAGCAATTCATGTCGAACACAGTTAATTTGAATTAATAAGTAACTAAATAATAAAAAATATCAAGGCTAGTAAGCACCAAATATATTGTGTACAGGTGAACCTAAAGCTCTTGGCTGAATCGAAAGTAAACTTTACTATTGATCTGATCCAGTTGCACCGAAATATTATATAATATAATGAGCGAAGAATGATGAGCAATGAACTGACACCATTCAAAAGTTTATTAATTTATTTTAGTTTAATTAGTTAGTTAGTTTAGTTAGTTTAATTTATTTAGTTTATTAAGTTCTTTATTTTTGTATAATCATCGTGTTCTACTATTAACTCGATGAAAGATATTAATTAGCATTTAGTAATTATTAGTTAAATCATTATTAATGGGTTTTCAGTGTTGTAAACAAATCGGTTTGCTACTACAAAAATTGAATTGTCACATTTATACACAAATTGCTACAAATGGGCAAAAACGGGTAAAAATTGATTTCATTCAAATGCAAACTCTGTCTGTTTGTAAGGGAATAAAAACTGAGTCCATTTGTGCAATTCAAAGACTTCTCTCATAAACGATTCTCGATAAAATCAAGTTCGAAGCTGAAACTTCTGAAGCGTTTTTTACAATTATGGAAGCAGACTTTTCCATGAAACTCATTCTCTTAATAAAATTTGTATGGCAAACCAGAAAATGGACTTTATTGCATGAAATAGCATTTTGTGTTTCTGTAAAATAGCTAAGTTCGATTTTCGTTTGAATCGATCGATTTCAGTGACGGAAGAATTTAAAGGGCTGAAACCTGTTAAAGGTACTTAGAAATTAATTCTACACATTGTGGATTAAATACTTTTTTCAATCCAGAAATAGTTCTCTTGATTTTGGCCATTGGACTTAAAACTTTGTGCCTCAATATTTCGAGAATGGCATCACCTACGATCATCATTCTTTCACTAATTTCGTTCCTTACTAATTAATAATTCAATTCAATCAAATAAATTTAAATCAACGCCCTTGGGTCATGATTTTTGGGTTTTAAATGTACTTCCAACAACTTATTAAACAAAACAAACTCATATAAACCCATTTCTTGGTAGAGAAACCAATTTTCTGGTTAAACTTACAAATGCAATGCAAAAAGTACTGCTGAAGGCTCGAACATTTGAATTCAATGTTGAAACTTAGTAGGTTTGGTGAGGCACAAAAACTGAGTCTATTGGTACCTTTAAATAGTTTCTCCAAAGAACAGTTTTCTGAAAAATGGAGGTCGAAGTTTAAACTTCGGGCGCCTTTTGTTCAGTTATGGAAGCAGATTTTTGCATGAAACTTATTCCTCCAAATACATCTTTTGATGGCAAACCAGAATATGATCTTATTTTGTGAAATAGCTTTTTCTTTTTCTGTAAAACAGGCCAAGTTCGATTTTCAATTAAACCGACGCCATTCTGTAACAATAAAACTTTGAGAGCTGAAACTTATTATACGTAGCTAAAAATTGTTTGTGCACTTCATCGAGCTAATACTTTTCGCAATTTATGGTTAGTTCTCTTTATTTTGGCCATTAACTTCAAAACTTTGAACCTACATATTTCGAGAATGACCTTACCTAAAATCATCATTCTTTGCCTCAACATTATATTTTACTATTAACTATAATATAACATGAATAAATGCATGTAAAAATGAATATTCTTCTAACAATTAAGGTTTGTGTTTGGGTAACCATTTAACTTTATAAATAAAATCTTAAATCGGACAACAAGAGCAACACAATGGTATAACTGTTTTGGTAGAACCTTAATTAATTTACTATTTCAATGTGTCATAGCCCATGATAAAATCTAATCTTAGGTCAAAGAATGATGATTGTAAGTCATACCATTCTCGAAATATCGAGGCTCAAAGTTTTTAAGTCCAATGACGAAAATTAAGGAAACCATTGATAAATAAAAAAAAGTATTTAATCCACAATGTGTAGAATCAATTTCTAAGTACCATTAACAGGTTTCAGCTCTTTGAATTCTTCCGTCACTGAAATCGATCGATTCAAACGAAAATCGAACTTAGCTATTTTACAGAAACACAAAACTTTTTTTCATGTAATAAATGGCATTTTCTGGTTCGCCTTTAAAATTTATATTAAGAGAATGAGTTATATGAAAAAGTCTGCTCTCATTTTTGTAAAAAAAGCTTTGCAAGTTACAACTTCGAACTTGATTTTCTCGTGGCCGTTCATCATTGAAGTCTTTGAATTGCACAAATGGACTCAGTTCTTATTCCTTTACAAACTAACAGAGTCTAAATTTGAATGAAATCCATTTTTACCCGTTTCTGGCCATTTGTTTCATTTGTTTTTGAATAAATTTTACAATTGTGTTGATTGAATCTTTTTAGTAACAAACCAGAAACCTCTTTACCCCTGGAAACCCATTAATAATGATTACTGAATGCTATTTAATATATCTTTCACAGTTAGTTAACAGTAGAACACAATGACTATTCCGATGAATTCAATTTTTGAATGGTGTTTGTCCATTGTCCATCATTCTTCGCTCATTATATTTCGGTGTAACTGCTGCTAATTTCAAGATGAGAAGCACTATTTCGGTATAAAGAGCTTTAGGTGTATTTCGGTGTAACTGGTGTTGATTCAAAGATGAAAATCACAATTTCGATATTGGAAAGTAAATATCCTATCCTACAATGATTTTATTTCAATTAAATTGCTTATTTAAGATGATCAACAATACTTTTTCATTGTTTAAAATGTTAAACTTGAAATTTCTTCAATGCAATGCTGCCACTTCAGAATAAGAACCATGTCAAAATTAGAATGAATAAATGAAATAACTCTTTTCGCGAGAGCATCGCGTAAGGAATTATCAAGCATATTTAGCATATTTAATCTACGAAATTAAGTCTGCTTTTGGTAACAAATCAATCAAAAAAGTGCAATCCTTTATTTTAAAACTTTAATATCCTTGTTATTACATTTTAATTCATTCCCACTATTAGAGACTCTTTAGTTTTAAGCTATTCAGTATTGATTTTAATGCAAGGATTAAATTTGTGTTCAAATCATTCATAATTCGCCAAGACCAATCATGGAGAGTAAGATGTCGTCAGTTCGTTCCTATGAAATGAAAACCTGTGATCTAGAACCCATATCGTTGAAAGAATTATCCTCAACATTGCAAGATCATCTTTCAAAAATTTATGGTCATGTTAAAGTATCAGTTGTTAATTGTCCTGATCTATCAAAGGAACCATTCAATCTAGCTGGTTCTTATCTCGGAGGGAAAACGGCTATAGCTGACCTTGGTGGTATTCCTTACTTGGTGCCAGTTGGATACGCAGCAGCACCAATCTATCCATTGATTCATTTGGCTAAAAAGATGGGTCAGTATCACCCTTATGATTAAAACAAAATTAACTCTCTTGTTGTTTTATAATATCTTTGTGAAAATTGAAGCTGTTATGACAATTCATCTCAGGATTCTGGTCAATAAAGATCATAAAACAATTATTTTACCATCTTTACATTACGAATGGATCTTTATTGACACGGGACCTTCATTTTACATCATTTCACAGGTTTCCAAAATGCTCATCTTATGGGTGGTGCTTGTGCCCCTTTTCAAATTATTGGATTAGTTGCTGATTTTATGCCAAACATATCTTACTCAACTGATACAAAAACTGGTAAAACAAAAGTCGTTCATGGCTCTCAATATCCAGAAATGGTTGATGATAAAAAGTATGTAATGCGACATTTAGCATCTGATTGTGTCACTGTTTTGGCGAATGTATTCATCAGTGAAAACAAACCTTCGAAGGTAATCAAGATTGTTGCTTCTAAGCGAGTTGACAAACGAGGAGAAAGCTTGACCATTGCTATCAGGGATATATTACGAATAGCTTATCCTGAAAAGGCTATTTCCATGGGAGGAATGTTTTTGGCTCGTAAGGGTAAAATCAACATTCACGTTATGCCAAACGACTTCTCAAAAACACCTTGTGATACCGAGGAAAAGGTTAATGAATGGTTGAAATATTTTGAGGCTTCGGCGCCAATTGTTGGTCTTGTCACTCTTCATTCAAAAGATCCTGGTTATGATTTCAGAGATGAACACACTCATTTTATTGGTAAAGGAGAGGGAGGACATTATTGTAATGATGTTACACCAGATATAATTGAATATGAAGCTTACCTTAACATTGCTCAGCAAATAGTTCGGGTTGATCAACCTGCTCTTAACAATGAAATGCCAAAGTAAAGTCAATGGCTGGTAATCATTAAATCACCAAGAAACATATCTATTTGTATTATTATAATTATTATCAAATAAATTATTAACAATTTCTATAATAACTAACTAAATAATAAGGCCAAATATCAAGGCTAGTAAGCACCAAATTTATTGTCTACAAGTGAACATAAAGCTCTTAGCTGAATCGAAAGTAAACTTTCCTATTGATCTGATCCAATTGAACCGAAATATAATGAGCGAGGAATGATGAACAATGAACTAAACACTATTCAAAAGTTGAATTCCTTATAATAATCATTTTGTCTTACTATTTACTCGATGAATTATATGTTAGCTAGCATTAATTAGTCATTATTAATGGGTTTTCAGTGGTAAAAAGGTCTCTGGTTTGTTACTAAAAAGACACAATAAACACAATTGTAACAATTATGCACAAACGAATGCGAAAATGGCCAAAAACGGGTAAAAATGGATTTCATTTAAATTTCGACTCTGTCGGTTTGTAGGGGAATGAAAACTTCGAAGTTGAAACCATAATTGTTTTTGTACAATTATGGAAGCAGACTTTTTCATGAAACTCATTCTCTTAATATAAATTTTAATAGCGAACCAGAAAATGCCCTTTATTGCATGAAATAAAGTTTTGTGTTTCTGTAAAACATCAAAGTTCGATTTTGGCTTGTATCGACAGATTTCTGTGTGGGTGGAAGTTAAAGAGCTGAAATTCATTCTAAGTACACAAAAATTATTTCTATGCATTGTGGATAAAATACTTTTTTCAATCCAGCAATAGTTCTCTTGATTTTGGCCATTGGACTTAAACTTTGTGCGTCAATATTTCGAGAATGGCATCACCTATAATCATAATTCTTCCACTAATTTAATTCATAACTGTGTTATAATGCATTGCAATTGAATAAATTTAAATCAGCGCATTTGGGTCATGATTTTTGGGTTTTAAATGTACTTTCAACAACTTATTCAACAAAACAAACTCAAGTAAACCCATTTCTTGGTAATGAAACCAATTTTCTGGTTAAACTTACAAATGCAATGCAAAAAGTACTGTTAAAGGCTCGAACATTTGAATTAAAAGTTGAAACTTAGTAGGTTTGGTGAGGCATGAAAACTGTGTCCATTGGTACCTTTATATAGTTTCTCCAAAGAACGGTTTCCTAGAAAATCGATGTCAAAGTTTAAACTTCGAGCGCACTTTGTTCAGTTATGGTAGTAAATTTTTGCATGAAACTTAGTACACTAATGCATCTTTTGCTTGCAAACCAGAATATGATCTTATTTTGTGAAATAGCATTTTCTTTTTCTGTAAAACAGGCCAAGTTCGATTTTAAATTAAACCGACGCCATTCTGTGACGGTAAAACTTTGAGAGCTGAAACTTATTATACGTGGATAAAAATTGTTTGTACACATCATCGAGGAAAGATTTTTTGCAATTTATTTTTAGTTCTCTTTATTTTGGCCATTAACTTTAAAAATTTGAAAGCCCATATTCAGAGTTTGGCATCACTTGAAATCATCCTTTTCTGCCTCAACATTAGTTTTTATAATTGATTATAATATTGCATGACTAAATACATTTAAAAATAAACATTTTTGTAACGATTGCGGTTTGTGTTTGAGCAACAATTTCACTTTATAAATCAAATCTTGAATCGGACAACAAGAGTAACACAATGGTATAACATTCTTGGTAGACACCACAAATGATTTACCATTTCAATGAGTTATAGTCCATAACAAAATTTAATCTCAGGTCAAAGATGGATGTTTGTGAGTGATGTGATTCTCGAAATATCGAGGCTTAATCTTTTTAAGTAAAATGACGAAAATAGAGAGAACCATTGATAAATTGAAAAGAATATTTAAGTCACAATGTGTAGAAATAATTTTTATGTCCCTTTGATCAATTTCAGCTCTTTAACTTCCACCGACACAGAAATAGGCCGATTCAAACGAAAATCGAACTTAGCTGTTTTACAGAAACACAAAACTTTATTTCATGCAATAAAGGGCATTTTCTGGTTCGCCTTCAAAATTTATATTAAGACAATGAGTTTCATGAAAAAATTTGCTTCCATAATTGTACAAATAGCTAAGTAAGTTGCAACTTCGAATTTGATTATATCGAGAATCGTTCATCAGAGAACTCTTTGAATTGTACAAATAGACTCAGTTTTCATTCCCTTACAAACTAACAGAGTCTAAATTTGAATTAAATCCCTTTTTACCCGTTTTTGGCCATTTGTTTCATTTGTTTTTGCATAAATGTTACAATTGTGTTGCTTGAGTCTTTTTAGTAACAAACCAGAAACCTTTTTACCACTAAAAACCCATTAATAATGATTACTAAATGCTAATTAATTTATCTTTCATCGAGTTAATAGTAAAATACCTATTCCGATGAGTTTAACTTTTGAATGCAGTTTAGTTCATTGTTCATCATTCTTAGCTAATTATATTTCCGTTCAATTGGATCAGATCAATAGTAAAGTTTACTTTCGATTCAGCCAAGAGCTTTAGGTGTATTTCGGTGTAACTGGTGTTGATTCAAAGATGAAAATCACAATTTCGATATTGAAAAGTAAATATCCTATCCTACAATGATTTGATTTCAATTAAATTGTTTATTTAAGATGATCAACAATACCTTTCTATTGTTTAGAATGTTAAACTTGAAATTTCTTCAATGCAATGCTGCCATTTTAGAGTCAAAATTAGAATGGTAAATGAAACGACTTTTTTCGCAAGAGCATCGCGTCCGTCCTTATCAAGCATATTTAGCATGATATCTACGAAATCAAATCTGCTTTTGGTAACAAATCAATCAAAAAATGCAATCCTTTATAATATCCTTGCTAAAACCCATTATTATTACATTTTAATTCATTCTCACCATTAGATCCATTCAGTATTGATTTTAATGCAAGGGTTAAATTAGTGTTCAAATCATTTATAATTCAACAAGACCAATCATGGAGAGTAAAATGTCATCAGTTCGTTCTTATGAAATGAAAACCTGTGATCTAGAACCCATATCGTTGAAAGAACTATCAACAACATTGCAAGATCATCTTTCAAAAATTTATGGTCATGTTAAAGTATCGGTTGTTAATTGTCCTGATCTATCAAAGGAACCATTCAATCTAGCTGGTTCTTATCTCGGAGGGAAAACGGCTATAGCTGACCTTGGTGGTATTCCTTACTTGGTGCCAGTTGGATACGCAGCAGCACCAATCTATCCATTGATACATTTGGCTAAAAAGATGGGTCAGTATCACCCTTATGATTAAAACAAAAATTTACCGTCTTTTTGTATTATAATATCTTTGTGAAAATTGAAGCTGTTATGACAATTCATCCCAGGATTCTGGTCAATAAAGACCATAAAACAAACTTTTAATCGCATTTTGCCATCTATACATTACGAATGGATCTTTATTGACACGGGAACTTTATTTTTCATCATTTGACAGGTTTCCAAGATGCTCACCTTATGGGTGCTGCTTGTGTCCCTTTTCAAATTACCGGATCAATTGCTGATTTTATGCCAAACATATCTTATTCAACTGATGAACAAACTGGTAAAACTACAGTCAATCATGGCTCTTATTATTCAGAAATGGTTGATGATAAAAAGCATATAATGCGACATTTAGCATCTGATTGTGTTACTGTTTTGGCAAATGTGTTCATCAGTGAAAACAAACCTTCGAAAGAGATCAAGATTGTTGCTTCTAAGCGAGTTGATAAACGAGGAGAAAGCTTGACCATCGCTATTCGAGATATTTTACGAATAGCTTATCCTGAAAAGGCTATTTCCATGGGAGGAATGTTTTTGGCTCGTAAGGGTAAAATCAACATTCATGTTATGCCAAACGACTTTTCAAAAACACCTTGTGATACTGAGGAGAAGGTTAATGAATGGTTGAAATATTTTGAGGCTTCAGCGCCAATTGTTGGTCTTGTCACTCTTCATTCAAAAGATCCTGGTTTTAATTTCAGAGACGAGCACACTCATTGTATCGGTAAAGGAGAGGGAGGACATTATCATCATGATACTACTCCAGATACAATTGAATATGAAGCTTACCTTAACATTGCCCAGAAAATAGTTCGAATTGATCAACCTGCTCTTAACAATGAAATACCAAGGTAATACACAAGTAGCACATCTATGTGTATTATTATAACTATTATCAATTAAGTAAATTATATGCAATTTCAATAATAACTAACTTAATTATATAAAAATATCAAGGCTAGTAAGCACTAAATATATTGTGTATCTAAAGAATTAGGTAAATCTAAAGTAAACTTTACTATTGATCTGATCCAATTGAACCGAAATATAATGATCGAAGAATGATGAACAATGAACTAAACACTATTCAAAAGTTGTATTCCTTATGCTAATCATTGTCTTACTATTAACCCGATGAATTGTATGTTATTAATTAGTCATGCTTAATGGATTTCCAGTTCTGGTTTGTTACTAAAAAGGCACAATAAACACAATTGAAACACTTATGCAAAAACAAATGAAACAAATGGCCATAAACGGATAAAAATGGACTTCATTCAAATTTAGACTCTGTTAGTTTGTAAGTGAATAAAAACTGAGTCCATTTTTGCAATTCAAAGACTTATCTGATGAACGATTCTCTATAAAATCAAGTTCGAAGTTGAAACTTGCGAAGCTTTTTATGCAATTATGGAACAAGATTTTTTCATGAAACTCATTCTCTTAAGATAAATTTTAAAGGCAAACCAGAAAATGGACTTCATTGCATAAAATAAAGTTTTGTGTTTCTGTAAAACAGCTAAGTTCGATTTTCGTTTGTATCGTCCGATTTCTGTTACGGTAAAAGTCAAAGAGCTGAAATTGATCAAAGGCACATAAAAATTATTTGCACACATGATGGATTGGATGCTTTTTTCAATACATCAATGGTTCTCTTTATTTTGGTCATTTTACTGAAAAGGATTGAGCCTCGATATTTCGAGAATCAAATCACTTACAAGCATCAATCTTCGACCTGAGATTTGATTTTGTTATGGACTATGACACATTGAAATGGTAAATTATTTGCGGTTCTACCAAGAAAGTTATACCATTGTGTTACTCATGTTGTCCGATTTAAGATTTGATTTATAAAGTGAAATTGTTACTCAAACACAAACCTTAATTGTTAGAAGAATATTTATTTTTAATTGTATTTAGTCATGTTGAATTATAGCCAATAGTAAATGCTAATGCTGAGGCAAAGAATGATGATTTTAGGTAAAGCCAAACTCGAAATATGGAGGTTCAAAGTTTTATAGTTGATGGCCAAAATGAAGAGAACTAACGATAAATTGCGAAAAGTATTTACTCGATGATGTGAACAAACAATTTTTATCCACGTATAATAAGTTTCAGCTCTCAAAGTTTTACGGTCACAGAATGGCGTCGGTTTAATTGAAAATCGAACTTGACCTGTTTTACAGAAAAGGAAAATGCTATTTCGCAAAATAAGATCACTTTCTGGTTTGCCGTTAAAAGATGCATTAGTATAATAAGTTTCATGCAAAAATTTATTACCATAACTGAACAAATGGCGCTCGAAGTTTAAACTTTGGCCTCAATTTTCTAAGAAACCGTTCATTGGATGAACTATATAATAGAACCAACTGACTTAGTTTTTATGCCCCTACAAACCTGCTAAGACTCAACTTTTTACTCAAATGCTCGAGCCTTTGGCATTACTTATTGCAATTCATGTGTAAGTTTAACCAGAAAATTGGTTTCTTTACCAAGAGATGGGTTTTTATTGTTTTGTTTTGTTGAATAAGTTGTTGGAAGTACATTTAAAACCCTAGAATCATCAGCCAAATACGTTTAATGAAATTTATTTGATTGAATTGAATTATCAATTAGTAAGGAATCAAATTAGTGAAAGAATGATGATTGTAAGTCATGCCATTCTCGAAATATCGAGGCTCAAAGTTTTTAAGTCCAATGGCCAAAATCAAGAGAATAGTTGCTAAATTGAACCAAAGTATACAATTCACAATGTGTAGAAATGATTTTTGAGTACTTTTAATGAATTTAAGGTCTCTATTTCTTATTATCACAGAAATAGGTCGATTCAAACGAAAATCGAATTCAGCTGTTTTACAGAAACACAAAACTTTATTTCATGTAATAAAGGGCATTTTCTGGTTCGTCTTTAAAATTTATATTAAGAGAATGAGTTTCATGAAAAAGTCTGCTTCCATATTTGAAAGCAAAAGCTTCAAAAGTTTCAACTTCGAACTTGATTTTATTGAGAATCGTTCATCAGAGAAGTCTTTGAATTGCATAAATGGACTCAGTTTTTATTCCCTTGCAAACTAACAGAGTCTAAATTTGAATGAAATCCATTTTTACCATGGTATTCTTTGATGATTACTTGACTCAATGAATAAACTCTTCGCAATATGTTACAATATTAACCTCACCATCAAAATGGAAAATGATTATTATATTATTTTGCATTTTTATATTGATTTTATTTAAATAACCAGAAAATTTTCAATAAAATTGCTGATTTTGGTTCACACTAACAATTCAGATTTAAGCTAATGCGTTAATTTATCATCCCAAGTTCAGACATTTTATACGCGATTTAATTCATCCTTACTCTAACTTATTAATTTCACGATGGTTTAGTTCCAATCACTGATTGATATAGAAGAAATAATTGATAATGATTATAATAATACACTAATATACATAGATGTAAGACTCTTTGGTTTAATTTAAGTTTTTTCGAGTAATAAAAGTCAACAAATTTCCAAGTAAAAATTAACTGAACTAGTTATTTTATTAAATTATTTAATATTTACATAAATTTTTTGCACTTCAGCAATTTCATCTAAAGCATCAACTAATTCTGACAATTTTTGTATAGCCTTGTCATCGATTTCAACGTAACTACGAGGGAAATACTCAATACAAAAGTCTTTTATCACTAAATCAGGACGATTTTTTTCAATAAATCCTTTAACTCTAAATAGATCGTCTTTTGAAACCATCAAGTCCCATGTAATATTAGCCTCAGCATCAGCATCTTTGTTTCGTTTAGATTCCTCTTCTTCCTCAGGAACGGAGATTTCCTCAGCACCAGCTTCAATTCCAATCACTTCAGCTGCATCAAAATCTATCTCATTACCATCCTTATCCGTCCGACTAATTTTAACGACTCCTCTTTGAATAAATAAATGTTTCAATGCCCCTTCTCGAGCCCAATTATACAATCTGTATGTAAAAAAAAGGAAATTTAATTTGAAATAAACACAATTGAAAAGCCAATAAATTTTGTACTGTTGATATGTAATAGACTACTTACCCTTTGAAGTCTCTTAATTGCTGTTTAACTGTACTTCGTGTGCTTCCAAGGTTATCAGTTTCGCCTTCTACTAAGATATAAGAATTACCAGGTCCAACTAGCTCAAAAAGAAAAGGTTTCGCCTTTTTTTCCAAAGCTCTTTTTAGGGTTCTCTCAATGGTTGCAGCTGGTACTTCAGCTTTACGAGCTTCAGCCAAAGCATCAGCCAATTTATCATTAATCTTGGGGTCAACAACACCTCCTGAGCTTGTAATCGCGTGTTTTATGAGCAGCAAGTGGCGATTAATTATTTGACCTTTAGCAACATCTTTAGCCGCCTTTACATGCCTAATATTGGACCATTTATTGTGACCAGCAAATCGTACACTAGACAGTGATATCATTCGAGGTACAAGACGAAGTTGAAACACTAGATTAGAGGCAAACATTGTCAAAGAGAAATATGTTAGCTAGAGATGATTAACTAAAGCACAGTTATGTAAATAATTAAAAAATAACATTTCAAAGATAACAAAACATGACAAATAAAATTATAGCTATCAGAGAAAGTCAGGGAAAACATTGAAAACATGTGTTCATTCAAAGTGATAAGTCACGTGAATTATTGAAAATACAATTATGAAGGGAAACAGTAAATAAGACTTAATTAATGATGCAATTCTGCGAAATTTTTAATTGCAGATTGAATTTATAGTTAAATCGAAGCCAGCTTTTAATTGAATTTGTTATTTCTATTGTGCATCCTTAATGAATATGATGAAATTTACTTGATAATTGCTTCAACTGTAAACTGTAACTGTAATTGTGATCTTAGTGGTGAACTGCTTGAGATAGTGGTCAGCTTTGCTATAAGTGGACAATTATCACAAAGCAGTTGAAGACTGCCTAATTAAGCTAAATAAATTATTTACTTTCACTCGCTTTAATTATTTAAATGATGATTTTATTGAGGATTGAAGCACTGAATGAATGCGGAAAAAACTCAATGAATCAGTGTGTGTGCCATCTGTCAATGAGAATATAAACTTTTACAAAGCCAAAGCCATCAAAGAGCTTTCATAATCTTTAATGAAGCTTTTGAATAAGCTTTTGCAGTTGGATTGCCAGGAGCTCATCTGAACCATTGTTAAGAGTTTAAGCTTAATCGAGGGTGGTAATTATCGTCTTGTATTTATTGAATATTTTACTTCTTATTGCTCTTCAAATTGTCCAATTAAGTTTATTATTATCATAATGACTAAACCAGAAACATTAGACGAAGAAAATGTAAGTACCTTCTGTGTTATATCTAATATCTTTTCATCTTTTGCGACTCAAATGAGCACATTTAAATCAATCACCCAACATCAGCCTTTTCTGATATCTCTTCTTGTTGATTAGGTATTAAAATTGCCCTTTTCATCCTTCATTTTGTCTCCTTTCTACCGAGTATCCCTTTGGTTCCTATTTTTATTAAGACTATGCTTCCTCATTCTTCCTCAATACAGGCAAGGCTTATCTCGCTATTCTACTTGTTTCGAGATCTTTTAACCTTAAGATTCTTATCGATTTAATCATTTTATTTTTATTTTCAGGGTCCATTGGCAGAGGCTAGAAGATACCTTTCATTGGGAGATTTTACTCTGGCTCAACGATCATTGCAAGCTGCAGCCCAAATCAATTGTAAAAGTGATGAATACCAAAGAGAAATGGAAAACTGCAAAACCGTAATTAAAGCTGACGGTGACTGTTTAAAAAGTTATGGCAGAAAAGATTATCGAGCTGCACTGTTTTATGCTAACAAAGCTCTAACTACAGCAGATAAGTGTAATAGACTGAAATTGATGAAGGCCGAGTGTCTAGCATTATTGAAAAGGTACGCTGAGAGTCAAGATATTTTGACAAAGCTTTACCAAGAAGATCCAAAGAACCCGGATATATTTTATATTAAAGGAATGATGTTATACTACCAAGACAATGTTGAAAAAGCATTCAGTAGTTTCACTGAAGCTCTCAGACTATGTCCTGACCATGCAAAGGCTCAAGCAGCCTTCAAAAGAGCCAAGTTGTTGCGGAGTAAGAAAGAAGAAGGGAATGTTGCCTATAAAGCTGATAAACTGGATGAAGCTCATCAAATTTATACCGACTGTCTCACAATTGACCCGCTGAATACGATGACAAATGCTAAATTATACTTCAATAGAGCTCTTGTATGGGCTAAGGTAAATATAAATATACTCTCATGACGCTATTTACCCTTTGATTTGAATCATTCATTTCAACTCGTATCACTCCCATTGTGTTGTTTTTAACATGTGAAAATTTTGGATTGAACAAAGATAGTACCTGTAACTTCAGTGATATAAATTTTCTAATTACATTTGTCCTCTTTTTTTCTTTCCTTCTCTTTCCTTGTCTTTCTTTTCCTTTCCTTCTCTTTTGTTTCTTTCTTTCCTTCTTTCCTTTCCTCTATTTTATTTTCTCTTTATCCTTTTGCTCTCATAATCACAGAAAGGTGAACACAAGAAGGCTATTGAAGATTGTTCCAACGCTATTAAAAACGATGAACACTATATTAAAGCATATCTGAAGCGTGCTAAATTATATCTTGATTCGGAGATGTATGAAGAAGCTGTCCGTGAATATGATTTAGTGTACAAGAAAGACAAAACAAAAGGTAATTATCTGTTCTTAACCAGTTTCTGTTTTTCTTTATCAGCAACAGTAGTCTAATCAAAGATTATTGTTATTTTATTTGTTTTAGAGCATAAAACACTTTTAGAAGAGGCAAAATTGGCTTTAAAGAAATCAAAACGTAAGGATTATTATAAGATATTAGGCGTCAATAAGGATGCAAGTCCAGATGAAATTAAAAAGGCTTATCGAAAGCGAGCTTTACTGCACCACCCTGATCGTCATTCAAGTGCTAGTGAAGACGAAAAAAGGACCCAAGAAACTCGATTCAAAGAGTTGGGTGAAGCATATAACATTCTTTCGGATCCCAAAAAGCGAACCCGTTACGATTGTGGTTATGATGAAGACGGGTCAAGTTACTCTGAAGTTTCCCCGAATGACATTTTCCGAAGCTTTTTCACTGATATGCCAACAAATTTCAATGGTGGATTCGGTGGATCGTCATTCCCTTACAACCAAACAAATTTCAATAACAAAAACTTTCAAAATAACTTCTCTTATATATAAGACGTTAACCCGCTTAGGAGAATGGAATCGTAACACATAACCTTTCAAAAGTTGCAAAAATCCGCCATCTCTCATCGATGATCATGTACATTAACATAATCCATTGTTAATGAATAAACAACAAAAAAAACTGAATTTACCCTTTTCTTTTCCTGATTCATCCTTAATTTTTATAATTACCTTTTCTCGGTAATTGGCTCATTGCTGCAACTTTTGAGAGGTTAGACTGTAATAGTGACACAAATTTTTTATACCAATTTGTACTGAGATTGTTGAGTACCATCTGGTGGACAATTAGATGTCCAACCAAATGCATTGAGTTTTTCTTGCTCTAGATGGCGTCAAAATCATGGATCAACTTTGTAAATAAAATCGTAATGTACGGTCAATAAACTTGCGGAGTTAATTGTAATGTTGTGATTAAAATTTAAGCTTGTAGCACTTTAATTAAACTTTAAAAATGTATAGACAATTTGTTCCCAATGTTTGCCAATAATGATAATTTAAACCCATCAATACCTCATGTGTATGTAAAAAGGTAAACCTTTAATCAACTATATCCAAGCATGATTACATTATTGAGATCAAGTTAAATTAAATTGGGATTTTCAATTTACTAATTGAGATTCTGTTTTTTACCGTGTCTTTCCTATCTTAATTGTGATATTATCATTATTCCTGTCTGAGAATGTCTTGAAAAAATCATCCAAGGGAGAGGATGATGATGAAAAGAGAGTCAGTCTCAGATCATCTTTACTCAAGTCAACATTACCGTTTTTATTATAAAGCTATCAATATAGCTGTTGTTTCCTAAAACTCTTCATAACTTGTTTCAATCATCATTTAATTACAAGTGAACCTTTATTTTATTAAATTAAACATGTGCTTCTTACATTCATCTTTAACCAAATGTGTAGTGCTATTAGTGTCGAGAAAGTGTCTCTCTCATCAAGGATTCAACACTTGGATCTAGTTTAACCCGATTGTTGGTCACAATTTTCATTATAGAGTTTTTACGTTTCATGTTTCCTTTTTAGTGAAAAGTTGGTAACAAAAACATGTTTGCTAATTACATAATGGATAAAGTGCCATTTAATTTAATTAATAGTGTTTCATCTTGAGTGATAACTCATCTAAAAACTGTTTTTCTCAAATCAATTAAGTGAAATCGAGAGATAATTTAATGATTAAAATGGAAATGGCTTCCACCAAAGTTGGCTATAAACCAAGCTCAATAACACCAAAAAATGTAATCTACAAAAATGTGAAATGTGCTCTAATAGTCTTTTTGATTACCAATTTAACAGTTTTCTGGTTAAACTGTGTAATCACAACAGTGTCTGCTGATTACAGTACAAATAGGCGACCATCAAATAGGATAATTAGTACAAAATATGGATCACTTCGAGGTGTTTACGTAAACTTGCCACACAATTTACAGCCCATCGAAATGTTTCTAGGTAAGTCTAAAATTATGCCCTAATTAACCTTTCTAACCAACATTTATTTCCATCAGGTATTCCATATGCAAGTCCACCAGTGGGTAAATTACGTTTTATGCCTCCAGTCACACCAGCACCATGGAATGGGATCAAAAACGCTGACAATTACGGTCCAGTCTGCCCACAGCGTTTACCCAACCTTTCCAATGAAACTGACGCTCTACTACGAATGACTAGTTACCGTTTAGCCCATTTAAAGCGACTTGTGCCATTGCTGCAAAATCAAAGTGAAGACTGTTTATATCTGAATATTTATCTTCCAGCCAAAGGTAAATCACCAAAGCAATTGACTTGATTTTTAACGTGAAATTGCGTCTTTAAACTATTAAACTCAATCACAACCTGCACAGAGAATTGCCTCTTCAATCAATCATTTTTAATCAACATTTGGGTTCACAATGATAATGATTTGTCGATGCTTTCATCATTGGTTGAAAATATGATATTTTTGGTCAATAACCAGAAAATGAATGAATTTTTGTTCTTCTTTTCATTAACCAGTTATTGGGTTTTATCAGATAAATAGATGACAATCCAATTTCCGAAATATTGATTGAAAGTTTTTTTTCCAAGATAAATCAAGACGGAATAAAGATGAATAAAGATAAATAATAGTTAATTGCAAGTCCAGTTGAGCTTTGAAAAAGGCACAGATTACATTTCATCAAATGAATAACCATCGCAACAAATTAGTATCAGCTTCTGGATTTCAAGTCTTTTGTTAACCCAAACAAAAGTGGTTAAATGAAAAGTAACCAAAAAAAAAGAGTCAAGACAAGGTTTAAAGTTGAAATGTTGCTCCAATGTTGAACTGTCCAACTCTGGTGGAAACCCTGAAATGGTTCAAGTTTTCTGTGGAAATTTCATTTTTCAAAAAACATTTCATCCATTTTTGTGACTTTCCTTTCATCCGTTTTTGGTCTTCACAATTTCACTCTTTCAGTTTAATCCTTTTTTTCCCTGTTCAAACCTATTCAACCATCCATCTGAAGACCTCAGTGCAACAAGATGATGTTCAGAAGTTTTATCAAGAAAATGATAAGAAAAAAGACAAGTTTGTCTTTTTTTTCTTGACTGACTTTTACTCGGTATTTTTCATCATCACAGCCATCATGATGATGATGATCATCTGAAAGGTCCTAAGAAAAAGCTTTCCAATGAAACTTTGTACTTTTTTGTTCACACTCTAACTCTTTATGTTGATCAATCTTTTCACCATTCTTACAATGGATTCAACTTATCAGCTTGTTTGTTTATTTGTTAACTTGATTATGTTGATACAGGATAACTTGATAGACAGAAAACATTATCAACATTCACTCAACATTATCATCAACCTCATCATCATTATCATCGCCATCCAGGCATTTGTTATCAAAACAATTTTCACATTCTGACACAAATTGTATTCATTATGAAAGTACAAAGGAAAATCTGTCAACTAAAATTAACTCAACTCTTTCATTTTACAATTGAAAAACAATCAGTTGAACCTCACCATGAAAAGTGGAGAAAAAAAAGAGTTTAAAAAATATTCATATTCATTAGCAGCTTGTTTCACAAACTGCTCAATTTAATCTCTCAATCAAATGATAATTAATTTTGCTCACATTATTTTGATCATCTTTTTTTCGTGCTGACAAAACGGGCATTTTCAAACTCTACATAATCTTTGTTTAATACGAGAAGAAGTGCAAAAAAAGAGGAAAATTTAAATTGATAAAAAATGGGTTTCACCAGAAATGGCATCATGAAAAAATGGATGGTTCAACAATTGGCTGTAAATTAATTATGAGCCAAAAAAAGGCGACTCAAGACACATTGAGAATCAATTGTGTTAAGGTAAAAAACTAATATTGAACAGGTTTTGAAAAGGTTCAGGGGAAAAAAAGGTATAAAAGGTGAAGATAAATGTATTTAACTTTGGAATAATGTTCACCTTATTTTCATCTCATCAAAATATCATTGCTAACTTAATTTGTTAGACAATATTCCATCACCTTTTTCATTTGGTAATTCATTCATGATGATGAAAAAAGAAAGGATGATAAACATGATGGTAAAGATGGGAATAGAAATTAGCTAGAAGCAGTTCTTATCGTTACCTTAATTTGATGAGGAAAATGTTACTTTACAGGTTGAAAAGTTAGAGACAATCGACTTAACCAGACACTTAGATCGTGATGATGATAAGATGAAAGTTGAAGACAATGGTGATGAAAAGAATGATGAAAATGGAAAATTATTTTCCATGTAAACAAGCCTGTCGTTGGTTTTACTTGATGCAGAGAGAGTGACTTGTCTAGGTTGAGAAGAGACGATCTCTCAGCCAATCATTCTCATTTCAGTTGAAGGGTTTCCCTTTGTAAATACGTTAATAAGATTGTGATAAAGATGATCTGATCATGAGATGATGATTCGATGATGAGACTGTCAGCTGAACCAGGCCAGACCATGATGACGATAAGAGAAAAGTTGAAGATGATGACGATGACGATGAAAAAGATGTAAAATTAAAAAGTAAATTTTCCATGCAAATAGCCTTCTTGTTGGCTTTACTTGATGCAGAGAGAGTGACTTGTCTAGGTTGGAAAGAAATGGCTTTTCAGCCAGTCACCCTCATCGCAGTTGAAGTAATATAATAATTTCCCTTTGTAAATGCTGTCATGATGATTCTGATTATTGTTGATGGTGAGAGTGAAAATGAAAATTGTTTGAAACCAGATGAAGCGGCTAAATGAGAGTTGGTTGATTTGACGAGAGATGATAGTGACTTGACTGAGTTGATTCATGACTTGCTAACTAGACTTATCCAGATGATTAGATGAGAAAGTTAACTGAAGATATGAGAAATATTCATGAGATGTATTTGTTTTGGGTTAAGATGGATGATGAGAGTTGTATGATGATGATGTAAAGATGAGTAAAAATGGAAGATGGTTGGACACGAAGAAGAAGAAGAGGGAAAAAAATGAAGATTAAATGATGAATGGTGAGAGATGATAAAAAGATAGGAAAAAGAAAAGTGATTCCAAGAAGAATAATAAGATCTCATGAAAGCAGAAAATATTTCTTCTTCTTCACTTATTTATTTCCTTTCTTTCTCTTTTTTTGGATTCCTTCATATTTTTCATTCAATTCAACGTTTATTCCTGACTTTTTCATTCTGTTTCCGGTTCTTCTTCTTCTTCATCATCTTCTCCTTTCTCATCATCTTTCAACTGACATCCAAACAAACCTAGCAACTTTGCCTGTTCAAATTTCCATCCCCAACAATTGACTCTTTTTACATTCATAATTCCTTATCACTCCCAGTTTTCACTCCCAAATTGCCATTCCTTTCTCATGACAAAACTATTGGGTCAAAGAACCTCGATCCAAAGATCCGTTTCGTTGTTATGTTTATTAGACAATCGATCCATGTCTATCCTTCACCATCTCCTCCTTTATCCTCATCATTCTCATTATTCTGTATTCCATTGAATTTCTTTTCCCTATTTTCCTTCTTCTTCTTATCTTCTTATCTTCATCTCTACCCTTTTATATCATTGTTTTTAGCCTCTCACTCCCTCTCTCTATTTTGAATTGTTTATTATCTTATCTTGGGTCAGTAAGTTCATCACAAGGGTCCAATCTAATGTTAAATGTATCCTTATTCCCAGCTAAATGATAATAACAATAAAAGGCAACGATAATAATCAGAGTAAAAATAACAACTCACACAACTTGATCAATGTTTATCTCTCGTTCATTTCTTCCCTGGTTACATGGAAAAGCTCCTTTCACCCATCAATGTTTAACACAACTTTTGTTTACCCCTTTCAACTCCTTTTATTATCACAACATCATTACCATCAGTAACATTATTATAACTACACCTGATTGTAAAGCTTACCATTTTTACTTCTGTTACAAGTGAAGGCAGAAAAAAAAGCTTGTGCCTCAACCACAACATATCCAGACAAATTAAATCTCATCACTATTTTACCCAAAAGTATTAATACTTGTACCGTATAATCAGGTAAATAATGGCAACAAATTAACCCATTTGTTAACCCGTTAACATTAATCGTTCAACTTTATCCCATTTAATTAATCATCTTTCAGACAACTGGCAGTTTTGCATCAAGACTTTGAAACTTTGTCAATCAACAATGAATTCAATATTGAAGGAAAACCAAAACTAACCAGAAAGATCAATTTAAACCTCAAAAAGGTAATTCAATAAACAGTTTGACAGAAGCAAAATGAGATTAAATTTAAACACTTGATTATGCTTGTTAGTAGCAAATAACTAATCATTAAATCAGACAAATGGAGTCATCTTTTTGTTGAAATAATGATGAACATTAGTTGAACCCTGAAACTGGTGAATGTTCATTTAGAGTCAACTCTAAAGAGATTCATTCATTATGAACTCATAACAACCCATTGATATTGGTTAACCTTTGGTTAGCTTTCAATTTGAAGTTTAATTTTGACCTTATTTGCAGTCTTGAAGTCATCTTTTCATCATCCGTTTCTTGTCACAATAATAATGCAAAATAACATGACAATTGACGAACAGCTTTAAGCTATTCCAGTGATTCCAGGCAAAAAAGGTTAAGCTTTTTACTTTTAAAAATTGCCTTCAACATGAATAACTCATTGCACTTAGGCAAACTAAATGTTTTCATTACTTTTTCATTTGAAATTGATTTTGGAAAATTGTTTCCGCCTGAATTTGAACATTCAATATCAACTTGAATTTCAACCCTTCAATTGACTGTTGATAATAACCATGAAAAAGGGTGAGAGAAGGAAAGAAAAGCTACTCAAATAACAAGAATAATCTGTTTACCCTTAAGCACATCAATGAACTTTCTCATTACCAAAGAATGGCAATAACAATGACAATAAAGGATAACAATAAAACGTAATAACCGTTAATCGCCATGCAAAAAAGGTTAACCCAACAAAACGAAGAAGAAAAAAATGAAACAAGAAAATTCTCAATTCTTTTCATGATCTTTTTCACCTCAACATTTATCTTTGATTAAAATTGCAAATCTCCATCTTTGGCTATTCACATGATACATTGTAATCTTTTATGCTTTTTGTCTTTTCCTTTTCATGATAAGTTAATTATTCTTAAATGATGTTGACAGTTGATGCGAATGGAAAGAGAAAGGTAAAGATAAGATGAAAATAACATGATAAATGTGATTGAAACAAATAAACTACAATTTAGCTAAAGTTATCTAATAATATAAATGCAAGAGCAGAACAA